ACTAATGACGAAGCATATTGGGAAGTCGAAGGTCTACAGAAGAAGCTCGCAACCGTGGAAGAAGAGCGTATAGCACTTGAACGGAATTTTGAACAAGCAAAGGTGGAAAACGCGCATTTAGCGGATGGTGTCACTCGACTACTGAAGAGGAATAAGAAACGGAACGCAGATATTGGGAAGATACAAGAAGCGGTCATATACGGCGAAGATTTTCCCGACCTTTCAGATGAAGATGAAGGCTCATCTTCGAGTTCAGACTCCACAATCTCAACACCCACTCATCCGATTGACCTTGTCAGGAGACGAATACCCATCCCACGCTGTCATCTTCCCAAAGCATTCAATGTACGTGAGGGCAAGATATCTGCTTACAAGGAAGAACTGCAGAGCATGCGAGAGCAAGCATTGTTCAACGCGAGCGTCAAGCTACCCATGTCTTTCAAAAACAGGATTAGCGTCGGACGCAATGATATCATGGAAAAGGTGCGTGAATGGAAGATGGGAAAGTCCTATCCACCGAAATGTTCGGAGTGGGGGGAGCTGAGGAGAAGAAGCGCGTGGGAAAGGTGGAATGGAGAGAACTGGGCGAAGGAATTTGCTCAGGGGAATGAGGTTGACATTTTGAAACGGAGTGGACTTTGGAATGAGGCTTGGGATTAGTAGTTGCATTTGAAGTTTTAGTGAAGGCGACAGCGGAGTATCTAGGCAGGTTCGGAAGATTGAGTTCATGATTACCGTGCCATGGTCTACTGTTGGTCAATCTGTACCCTGCCAATGTTGGCGTCTATATCCAGGCTGCCATGAAAATAGATTGCGGTAAATGTCGTACTTGTCCTCGACCCCTTTCATTCTGCACTCATGACATAGGCTCTTTGCAATGTCGATATCTGGTGCGATGTTGTTGATCAGAGAGGCACATTCGAAATGTAGACCTAAAGGGCCTAAGATAGCGAGACCATGACTGCAGTTGCTTCCGTGACGTCTCATTAGTACTTGGCAGTTCTCACAGTGGATGCGAACGAAGTGGCACATAATTAGTCGTTTCGATGGATGGTGTCGGGGTGAGGTTCAGGATGAGCGCGAGAGAATGTTCACTATATGGGAAGGTAAGACATTGGGACTACGTGTTTGAGGCTAGGTAACCACGTTGTCGAAAAGCACGTAGCCTTATTGCAGTAGCTACACGTGTAGCACCGCACACCACTAGCCACGAATGTGACAGGTCACTTAATGAAGGGGTTTAAACCAACGAGAAGAAGTCAAGTATCAGACTAATTTGTAATATATACACTAATCAATTCACGCCAAAGACCGCTCACACAGCCTCCGTTGTCTGAGTTTCGTCCTTCTCCTTCTTGGCAATATTCTCAATAGTGGCAAGGGCGTCGCCTTTGGCTTGCGCAGCTACAACGTTTTCGACGTCCTGAGCGAGGTGTGAGCTGCCCTTCTTGGTCTGCCAAGCATGTGGGCCCTCTTTGCTGAACAAGACTTCAATCTCTTCAAGAGTCTTGCCACAAGTCTCGGGGTATGTGAAGAAGAATTGAATGGATGCCAGAACACAAAGTACTCCGAAGACTACGAAAAGTCCCCACTTAATGTTGATGAAGGCGGGCGGAATGAAGAGTCCAATGGCGAAATTGAATAGCCAGTTTCCGATGGCAGCTATGCCCATTCCGGAGGCGCGGGTCTCTAGTGACCACACCTCAGCGGCGTAGACCCAGCAAATCGGCGCAAGCGTAAGCGCGTAGATCTAGTGTAGGGTTAGTATGGTCTCTGAAAGATACGGAAAGAAGTTGCTTACGATGATCAACAGGTATGAGAACGCAATGACAGTGTACGCGGGCGACCCGGTAACCTCCATGACGACGTTCTTGTCGCCGCCGACACCATCGGGTACATAGGTATAATGGGCTCCCAAAACTCCACCAACAACAAAATGGCAAAAGGCCATCGTGATTGCACCCCAAACCAAAAGTGTTCTGCGGCCAATCTTGTCGACAAAGAAGAACATTATCGACGAGAAGATAATGAACAAGGCGTACTGCACGCCAGATGAGATGAGCTTGGTGTTGCCTTGAAGACCTGCCATGGCGAATATGTAGACGACGTAGTAGGTCATGACATTGGCACCCGAAAGCTGTTGCCATGCTTGGACAGAGAAGCCGGCAAGCGTTCGCTTCCACATGCCGTTCACAACGAACTTTCTCCATCCTTGGGGAGCTAGACGCTCAGCAGTAAGGGCGGTTACAATCTCTTCGTATTCGGCGATAACATAAGGATCTTCGATGTTGCCGTCGGCTTGAATGGCGGCAAGAATACGGATCGCTTCTTCTGTGCGGTCGACCTTGGCGAGCCATCGGGGAGACTCAGGAAGGAATGGCAGGCCAATCATGAACATGACACAAGGAACGAACTGGATTCCCCAAGCGGTGCGGAACGAAGCGGTGGCGCCAGGGATAAACGTACAGCCATAACCGATAAAGTACCTGGAAAGTATGAGCCTAGCTACTTTCCTCGTGCATAGTTCACTTACATGATAAGAATACCCCATTCGATAGCGAGCTGTTGAATGATGATGATGGCACCACGCTGCGAGTGTTTCGAGATTTCGGCAAGGTACACAGGTACCTGAGATGACGTGATACCGACTGTTACTCCGTTCAAGACGCGACCGGCAATGAGCATGCCGCGACCTGTGCAAGCGACCTGTACGGCGGTGCCGACAAGCCACCAGAGACAGGCGAACACAAGAGCATCGCGACGACCGAACTTGTCAGAGATGGGACCAGCCATAGCACTACCGACTACTGATCCAGCAGCAAGTGCAGAGCCGATGGCTCCCTGGACAACACCAGATGGGTTGTCGAAATAGTCGCTGTCGAGAGTTAGTGGATGTGCTAACAAATTCGACCGTCATGACTTACAGGTACTGGTCGGATGGAATGATGGCACTCATCGATGAGATGTCAAATCCGAAGAGCATACCTCCCATCGTGGCAACAATTGCCAAAAAGTAGACATTATAGATCTTGGGGAACTTTTCAAACATCTTGACTAGAACCTCTCCAGAGCCTTGGGTTGATGCAAAGATGGCAGTCTATTGACCTGTCGACCCACGTTCGCGGGGGAGGTTGAATATAAAGCTTCAAGCAGTCGGCACTACATGCCGGTTCGTTCAACCTGATAATCATCTCGCTTGAAGTGGTCTTCTCCACTGAAGTCCTTGCTCCGCATGAGGCTCCCCATACTGACACATTCGTTGGCCAGGTAAAATGGTTAAAATGCGGATTTACCGTTATGAGTATAGCGGCCGCACGCCGAGAAGCCAGCCGTCTTGAACATCGGAGAGAAACGACATCGAGTCAGTGTCGGACCCAGATTGATTCGTGGAAAATAGTGAGTCTGGGGTTAGACTGGAGGTGGGGACACGGACGCTCAAAGTCGGAGAGATGTGGAGATCGCCTCACCCGCGTTGTGCATGTGTCGATGTCGTCAGTGGCGCCGCAGCCGAACCGGCGGCTCTTTTACGAAGCTTTCCGGGGTCCGATGGCACGTTGCAAGGCTGCTAAAATGCGACGATGTTACATGTGAACTGGAAATATTTCCTGATGCGATATGGCTTCCGCGTGTCGTTGGGTGATTGGGCAGGAGTGCGATAGAGTGGTGTGAACGAACGGGGCGCGATCATTCCTCTGCTTGGCAACGTCCGCCCTCATCCCCCGATTTCTACTCAGCATCGCGATGTTGTGATTGGCATGCAGCTTCGCACGCATCGCATTACAATGTTGTGGTTGATTTAAGACGAAAGACATGATGTATAGGAGGCAAAATTGACAAAGGCCTTGCCAAATTCTGACAGTTCATTAGAGGCAAATCTGGAATTTGCGCAGCTGCGATTCAATAAACCTTGTCATGATCGGGGTTACGAGGACCTCGGGAACGTTGGGTTTGCTCATCGATGATCCTTTCTGCCTTTCCTCGTGCTCGGGCTAACTAATTGCGCATCAAACCACGAACCATCACATTGTAGGAATGTTGGAGCGAAATGACCCTAACATCAGGCCACTCGACACGGCTACGCGTATGAATCCTAGTTCTAGTATGTAGCTATGTTCGCAGGACTTGGCCAATGCAAGGCCAAGTTCGAAAAGTCATCCAAGCAGTCGACAGCACAAATTTGGTCAAGAAAAGCTTTGCGCAGGATGCAAAAACGTTGATAGTGAAATCTGGATATGATCCGATGCAACTGTAACCACTAAAACTCGTTCAGAGGTTAATCATGACATCCACCGCCCAGATTGCTGGACCGGACACCTATATCCGTGATATAACATACATGCGGCTTTCGTGTGCGTGGCAAATACTCGGGAAGGCGTATAAACCGTGTGAAGTTGTGATGCGTGCAATAGTCTGCGTCATTGACTTTTGAGTTGGAGATGTTTATCGCATGACCGCGCCATTGCTCACACAAGATTTTTGACAATGAATTTTGTTTCTTCACACGATTTGAATAGAACCTGGCTTCATAGAAGAATGCTCGCGCAAAAGAGAATCGCAAGTACGGCGGAGATTGAGTGTATCGAGAACTGTCGTTGAGACAAATCTCAGGTTCCCCCAGTCGGCATCACTAGAATTTTCACTAACAAATGGTATACCAGGCATTCTCAGGATCTGGGGTTTGATGCCGTTAGACAGGAGCGCTCAGTATTCAGGTAAAGTTTTGGTGTTCGAGTTCGGGTTTGCCGCCCCCTGAACCGCCCGTGTCTGCGCGGCTAAGTTCGGCCACCATACCAACACTGGCAGTATTTTCCCCGTTCCGATGGCTGAAAGTCCACAATTTTTTGTGGAATTGTCAATGTCTATCGTGCCAACAAGCTCCGCGTGGTTTTGGAGTTCGGTAAAAGGCCGGATTTCCCAAAAATGCAGTTTTATATAAAATTTCATTTTCTGCTTCTTTCCATCAAAACAACTTCAGCAGCTCTTCAAGAGCAGCAGAAATCGGTCTTATGGTCTAGTGGTATGATTCTCGCTTAGGGTAGGCGTCTTCTGGACGCCACAAAGCCTGAGCAACAGCTTGCGAGAGGCCCCGCGTTCGAGTCGCGGTAAGACCCCTTTTTTGCGCTTCCAGAGGCTACAGGAGGCCCTACAGACATCACAGAAGCTTGGGATACGTTCAGATACATCCCTAGTTCATTTGGGAAGCTTCTGGCTATCTGTGCTCATGCTTTGATTACTTACATGTCTTTTTTTGACCAAAACTCGGCCCTCCACAGCTTGAACAAGATTCAAGCATCACATACGTGTATTGTCGAGTTTGGAGGTTCACTCAGACTTTCCCCAACGTTTCTTGACCCTTTGGAGTGGTTTGCTAACTGTGCTGGGCTTGTGCGTGGACGATTCCACTTTCTGGTTAGAACTTCACGCGACAAAAGCAAAGAACACTCAGGCATACCACACGCACACATGCAAATATAAACATTCCTTATCTATTTTCCAGTACCTCTCGACCGGTTAAAATTGTCCGCTAGCTACATATTTCCATGTGTGGCACATTTACTTTTTTGGTCTCTATTTTGTTCCCGACAACGCTCCTTGCGGAATCCACGAACCTCAACAACTACGGATCCGGCGAAGACAAATCTGCAATACCCTTCTACCAACCTCTTCAGATATCTCTGCCTTCTCCTATCTGGTTTGCACGTTTCTATAGATAGTGTTTTCGTCTTTAGGTAGCGTGCAAAGTGGATCCCGAGGTCACTTTCAGGGGTCATAGCGCGAACCGTCCTGCTTCAAGTAGAAAACCATTGCAAACAACATCTGGGCAACCTTACCGACCTCACAGCATCAGAAGAACCTCATCTTCGCGGCCCGCAGTTATCATACTTCACGATGCAGTTGCGATGGGACTATCCGAATGAATACATTGTAGGAGCTTGGGAGCCCAAGACGTCGAACCACAAGTGAGTTTGGGTATGGTGCCTGGATTGACTGAATTTAGCTGACCTGGTATAGCTTTTGTGAAGAGGTATGCGAAAATCAATGAGCCTGAACGAATGCAATGAGGATTGACGAATGAATGAAGGACTACATCATCACACAGTACATCGGCGAGTTCATCAACACCCTTACCAACATCACCTACGGTCCGTGCAATCCTCCATCAAAGCCAGAACCATAAACTCACTCACTTCCAGTCATCTACGGCCTCCACAGCCTCCGCCGTGTCGCCCCAAAACCTGATGGCGGACTAGTTTCGACACTCGCATTCCCCTACTGGGGTCTAATCGGCGTGGGCGTCCTATCAGCCTGGTTCCACGCAACCCTAAAGTACCACTCGCAAATGGGCGATGACCTATCCATGTTTCTGGCCGTAGGGGCCATTCTGCATCAACTCCTCTGCTTCGGTGCTACGCAATCGGAGCGCCAGAAATACACCTTCTACATCCTTGGCAGTCTAATTCCCATCTCCGTCTACCATGTCTGGGCCGACGAGATCATCATGCACGAAATCGCCTTTGCAGTCATGATCTTCCTCGTTAGCAAACAGACGCGCGCGCTGATCAAGAAGCAAGTCAAGAACGAAGAGAGCAGAAAGAAGTTGGGCAGCATGGCTACGTTTGGCATTTCAACAGGCTTGTTTGGGTACTTCCTTTGGAATATCGATTTCCACCTTTGCGCGTATGTCACGCAATTTAAGCGCTATGTTGGGCTGCCTTGGGGATTCTTGTTTGAGTTGCATGGGTGGTGGCACATTCTGACTGCTATTGGAGCGTATGTGGGTATGGCACTGGTGGAGTACCTTGTCACTATTGAGGAGGGCAAAACAAACACGGTCGAGGAAGGGTTTGTCTGGCCTGTCAAGGCTGTGCTGAGGGACTTGGACGGCGTTGAGCGAAAGGGTGTAGAGAGCAAGAAGACGATGTGAGAATGTGTTGGAGCATGGGCTTATAAGTTGAAAGGATCGACAAAAAACTTGGGCACTTGTGTATCGTACATGTATTACAGTATAGTCATGGAGATAGGTTGACAATTAAGATGAATTCACTATTGCTGTAGGTTGTCCGGAATATTCTAGGTCTACTTCAAAGGCACGTACTATATTGTACAATTTAGCTGTTGCTTAGGCTTTGTGGCGTCTAGAAGACGCCTACACTAAGCAAGAATCATAACACTAGACATAACACTAATTAGTACTGCTCTTAGAGAGCTGCTGATGTTGTTTTAATGTAGAGTACGATATTTAGCAAAAGCATAAGCTTCTTATTGCCGCAAGTGTTTGAGCTTGATCATGAGTGCCGGCTCCACGGCTCAGCCAACTTCCGTATCAACACACAATAACGATTTCAGCTTACCAACTCCATTTCGGACAAATTATCAAACTACACATTGTGTGAGATGGTCGCGCGCGCATTCCGCTGGAGCTATCGTGCAAAGTCCATCCTCTTACGCCACACCCGCTTCTGATTGGCCGCGCGGAGTTAAGATCTGGGCCCGGCAGATGCATGTGGAACCCAGCGTCATCACATCCAGTTACATAAAAATGATTTCGGGCCCGAGAAGACTACCATTCGATATAAGAGCTTCGTGGAAGAACGGCGAAAAGGACATCAAACAACAACTGCTACAACCACACGAGCAATTGAGCATCATCAATCAATTTATAGAAGCTCCATCTACCCCACCATTATCTACGAAACTTCACAGAAGCACCAACCAACCAACATGCCTGAACTCGTCGGAAAGACTGTAGGCCCAGTGGGCTATGGCCTCATGGGTATATAAACCATCACCTACCTCGATTCCAGTATTCTAACACATCACAGGCCTAACATGGCGCCAGAACCCACCGCCAGCCGAGCAGAGCTACGAAGCTATGCGCACGGCACTTTCGCTCGGCGCAAACAACTGGAACGGTGGCGAACTCTACGGCTCCCCAGAGCGCAACTCTCTACACCTTCTCAACGAGTACTTCACCAAGTATCCAGGTGACGCAGAGAAGGTTGTCCTGTCCATCAAGGGTGGACTCAAGAAGGGCGAGATGGCGCCCGATGGCAGTCGCGAAAACATCAGGCGCAGTATCGACGAGTGCTTGAAGGTCCTGGATGGCAAGAAGAGCCTAGATCTTTTCGAGTGTGCCAGAGTCGATCCCAAGACACCAATCGAAGAAACTGTCGGCTACATCGCCGAGTACGTCAAAGAGGGCAAGCTCGGCGGTATTAGCTTGTCAGAGGTTGGCCCACAGTCGATCCGCAAGGCGCATGCTGCACACCCCATCTCGGCGGTTGAGGTAGAGTTCTCGCTCTGGAGCACTGAGATCCTGGAGAACGGCGTGGCGGCGACGTGCGCAGAGCTGGGTATCCCCATCATCGCCTACTCTCCTCTTGGACGCGGATTTCTGGTAAGCGCATCTTTTTCCAACTGAAGACTTACTGCTAACATATGGGAGACTGGCAAGTACAAGAAGCACGAAGACATCGAGCCCGACTCTATGCTCCATCACTTTCCTAGATTCCAGCCCGACGTCTTTGATGAGAACATTAAGCTACTCAACGCTGTCGAGGATATGGCCAAGGCAAAGGGAGCCACACCAGCTCAGATTGCCCTCGGCTGGGTACTCGCGCAGAGCGGTGCCAAGGGTATGCCCACCATCATTCCAATCCCAGGTGCTACAACGTCGGAGAGGATTCAGGAGAACACGAAGCCGGCGCAGCTCAACGACGAGGAGAAGAAGGCGCTGGACGAGATCTTGAAGAGGTTTGCCCCAACTGGTAGCCGATATCCCGAGTCTATGTCGGCATTGCTGTCCGCATAGATAAGTGCAGATCTAGTCTGAAGCATGTTAGCGCTGTAGTTGTAATGCAACAAGCTTAATGTGTATGAGAGTAGTAGATCAGAAAGAATTGTAGTGTAGAGCTAATCCACATTCGAGCAGCCGTGAAGCGACTCTTGAGAATTGCAGAACTCTGGAATAGATCATCATGAAGACGGGGCGAAGGAACTAGCAAAAAACTTACCTGTAGATGTTTATGGTGAAGAAGTGTGGAAGAAGGACGTGAGATGCGCAGAGCTGACCAAAATATGCGACGGAAGCTAAACGGCTGGTCAATGCACCTCTCCGCTAGACGTCCAACGCGCCAGCCGTCGTCACGCTCACCTCCCCCAAACGCGCCCAGAGCAGCTGGAACATTCACATCAAACCGCCAACATGGACTCCCCTTCAGAGCTCTCCGAGTACGGCAGCGATGATTTTCCCGAAGACATCAAAGGCCGCCAGTACGAAGCCACTCCTGACCACGACCCGCGCCCAAGCAAGCGACCACGTCTGAACATTCGCGCGCCATCTTCACCACCTCACATCAACACGATGCCTCCCGAAGAAGAGGGCGATTTGTCTGAAGACACGGATGGCTCTGTCCCCGCGTCGCCACACCACCACCCGGGCATGTCGCAAGACGACGACTACGGCCAGGAACAGGTCACCGTCTGCAAGTGGGACGGCTGCACAGCGGGTGATCTCCAGAACATGGACAACCTGGTCGAGCATCTCCACGACGATCACATTGGCACAAGGCAGAAGAAGTACAGTTGCGAGTGGAGCGACTGCACGAGGAAAGGCATACCACACGCCAGTGGCTATGCACTAAGGGCACACATGCGCTCTCACACGAGGGAGAAGCCCTTTTACTGCACGCTTCCCGGTATGTCACGGCCCCAGTCTCGACTCTTCCAGTATACTAAACCTTGCTAGAATGCGACCGCTCCTTCACCCGCTCCGACGCGCTGGCCAAGCACATGCGAACTGTCCACGAGACCGAAGCCCTCCGCCCTTCTGATCCTGTTCCCAAACACCACTCATCCAACCCCACAAACAACAAGCAGCGTCTCAAGCTCGTCTTGAACAACGAGGCCAAGAAGCTGCCACACGACAAGGCCTCAACGCCCGGTTCCCCATCCTCACACTCTCACCCCTCGAACAGCGCAACAATCCCGCCCAACGCACCTGCAACAGATGCTGACTACGCACACAACAACATCGTCTACCTGCAAGACCTCGCAAACCCAAGCGCGCCGACGCTTGTGCAGTTCCCGCCGGACATCGAGTTTACGCCCGAAGAACTCTCGAAACCCGCCCCAGACCTATTCCAGCTACTACGTCGGCAACTGCTTTGGGCGACACAACAAGGCGAACAACTGCGCGCCGAAGCTGAGGAGCTAGAGAAGGTGCGTCAGGAGGAATGGCAGGCCAAGGAGCTTCTATTCGAGAACTTCATGGAAGCACAAGCCGCAACCGAGCGGCGGCGACGAGTCGAGGAAGGCATGCCAGATGACATGGAGGGCTGGCAGTCTGTGGAGAACGACATCATTCCCGCCAAGTCCCTCCCAATGGCACCAAAGGACGGAAAGCTACCGTGGTGGCGAGACGAGACTGTACAGGCCCAGCGACCACAGATCAAGGACGAGCTCCAGCCACCCAGGCCGCCTCCAGCGGAGCCTCGGCACCATGATGAGCTCCACCCACAAGTCCCTGTAGCTTAGAATGCTCAAGGACCGGGCCGCAAAGCGTACAGGCAGGCTCCCTGCTTCGACCTATTTCATCCAGCTTTCCCCTGGGGGTTCGTCCGCTATCGTTTTGTTGCGGATTACCAGCCACCATATATGGACATGTCATAAGCGGCCTTCCAACACTAATGCAGCGTTGAGCTTGGAAGATAATCTGGCTAGGCGGAATCAAAAGACGGGATTCAATGTTGAAAGGGGAAATAGGCGCACTCTTCTAGTGTTTGTTTGACAGTTTTCGTGTATTACTATGGGGTAGATCGACGGCTCACGGTCTCTGGGTACATTCAAGATTAAAGATACCAATTCATTTGATGCTTCCATAGTGTACAGCCTGGCTTAATCCGTGTCTGGCGATTTTTTGATGCCATATTTTAATACCCGCTTCCATGCATAACTCCCATTGTATGCCCATTTGCCCATTGTTGCTTGAGCGCTGCAGACATCCCTTCCATGCCCCTACCTCCGCCCAAAGCATGGCTTGTTAACTTTCACAATCGACCATGTTTCGACAAAAGCTGAGTATATGCGTTTACCTAGCCTTCCTCTTCTCAGCCTCTTGGTTCTTGAATGGGAATCCAGATGTCCTCTTGTCAGCACCTGTCTTCCTGCTAATGCGGCCATTGCTGCTAGCGAACAAAATGCACCAAAGCGCAATCATAGCCAGGAAGCCCGAGCCGAGCGTTGCCAGACCGAAAGACATGACACCAACCTTGGTCCACATGGCGTAGCCGTAGAAGGCGACGACCGAATGGAAGATTGCGGTTATGGTAAGGGTAGGGAGCGCGTAGGGGGCTTTGGGGTCTTCGGCGTTGGTCGTCGCTCCTGGGTATGTGTTAGCTGCGGACTTTACAAACAAAGTGAGAAAGCCGTACCCTCGGAAAGTCTACTAGAGAGTGGAACAGAGCCCGTGAGTAGAACCGTCATGATGCCCAGTGCGATGAGCGAAAACCCCAGCGAGCGGGAGAAGTAGACCTCGAGAGCTAATCATGTTCGTTAGCATCTCCTGCTCTTTCGCACCTTGACTTTTGGAGTGTACGTACTGGAGGCTTCGCGGACCTCGGGTGACAACAGTGCTACTATCATTGTTGGGGACGCAATGAGAGGCGCGGCTTGGGTTGCTGAATTCTGTCAGCAAGCTGTACGGTATCCTCGATAGATGGCATGAAGCTTACCCAGCCATGCGGCAGTGCCATAAGAGTAAAAGTAGTAGACCTGGTATTCATGTCAGCTCCTCTTCGTTGAGCAAACACCATCCCTCATCAACAGAGCTGGAATACGTACATCCATGTTGGGAGAGTTGTTAGGATATCAATCGAGGGGTCGTTTCGTTTTTGAAGTGTTACAGAGTGTTTGGAGGGAGATGCAGTCGTGAAGATGATGTTCTTGGGAAGAGTGAAAGGAAGGGTTAAACGTGGGCCTTGTGATGCAATGTCGTGTTCCTGGCGGGATTTGCGCAAGCATCCGCGAGCCACTACGTCATTCTTGCGCTAACATGGAAACCGCGGCACATGCCAACTCGCTTGTTCTGGACATTGCGCGTAATCGGGTTTACTTGGTTGCCATGCGTATTACTGCTTTCGCTCATCGTCATGATCCGTATTGCTTCATTGGTGATATGTGTCTATCATGGGCAAGTCTGAAGCTTATACGAGGGTGTGCGAGGCTGAGGACCACGTCGCTACACCTATCCAAGCTTCTTCCAATTTTGTGCCGTCATGATAGCTACAACGTCAAGGGCGTAGCAACCTCTGCGCTCCAACTCTCACAACACCGCACCGAGCTCGCGCATCATGCTTCGGCACCCCATGGAACACAGTCGTAGAGCAGCTACAGTGCCTTGAGAGAACACGCACGCGCCAATGATTACTATGCTCTTCTGCTGACGTATACGCTTATATCTTCAGTCTGGGGGCGATTCACAAACTCCTCAACACCACGATAACCAGGTATATGACATGACTTACGATTTGCGCACACGTCTGAAACAGGAAACATACTTTACCAACCATCGATCACTGTCAACGGCTGTCAGACCCGTTTCCCGGGACACCTTTACACCTCTAACACTCAAAGAGCTTGGTTGCCGTACCTCCAACGGCCAAAATATACCATAAGAGGAAGGGTATAAGAGAAGCATCGATTACGGTAGATTGCGCTATCGGAAAAGATCCACGAACCAGGATGGAGGCTTCAATCGAAAATCGGGTCTCAGGGTCGAGGTCTGGTACGTGGCTGACGGAACGTGGTAGCGAAGTAGTCATAGACGCCGAGAAGGGAAGGAAGAAGGAAAAGCATCGATCCTCGCGGGCGACTGGACACGTCGCCTAAAAAGCAACGGTAGTCTTGTCATGAAGCTTGGGTCGTCCATGTCACGCGACTTGACATACACGGCTATTGGATCGGGGAGCAGGGACAGGTTTGGATTGAGGACAACGCATTCGTGCTGTATTGTGGCCTTACTACGAACACAATGGCCTAGGATGATCAGGGCGCGAATCTTTTTCTGGGCCATGCCGACACATACGGAACCGGAGCGTAGTGCGCACATGTCACACACCGCCGTCCGCCTGTAGACCTCGGTTTCATATCCAGGCAGAGATCCAGTAGCGTTTCACATACTCAAATCTTCTCACTCACAACAAATTGCCAGAAAGGGCAATCGTCGTTTTCGCGTCGATTCCAGATGGCGTAAGGAGAATAAAAAGTTCGCACTAGGGACGTCTGAAGAGTTCCAGATGTCATAAGCTTCACCTGACATTTTTATGCACCGGCTCAGTACATCAAACAAAACCAGTGTTTGCCCAATTAGGCAACATAAATCCAAGGTGTCGATAGCAGCTCAGGCGTCCAGCCTTGGAGTTCGGGTATGGTTTGTTTTGCCATCTCCTTTTGAGGGGTCAGATCACTTACCGATCGCCCGGTGTGCCTAAGGCACGCGCTACCAAACTACAACACCATGAGCAGTCCGCAAAGGGAAATTTGAGCTTTCACTGTCGATTCCAGATATGGTTTGTGGCTTGATATGTGAACAAGCAAGAAGGTGCGCAAGCTCTTCAATAGGCCGCTTGTTTCTTTTGACTTCTGCGCTGTCACCGTGCCAGACGTTGGGCTACTCAGATAGGCAAGAGTAGAAAAGGTGTTGGATTCAGTAATGAATCGTAGGTGTATTCTCCGAGGGTACTGAGAGAACGTGCGCAACCTGCTCAATATGCTTAGACCGTTTGAGGGTTAGAAGGTTTGGAGTGTGGTGCCAACACGGACCCGGGGGTTTATGATACACGCTCGCATGTTCGGATGGATGGAATAACGCTAAGTCTCTAGTTTTCCGTTGTGCTGGTATACTCTGAGTGATATGTTGAACCAGCCGCTTGCTCGTTCTGGCATTCTATACAGCCTATGGAGCATATCAGCCCAACCCTAGGATGTCCAAAGTCCCCCACTCCCTCACCCTTGGTCTTGAACCACCACCCCTCTTCAACCCCCTCCCCTCCATGTCTTCCTCGGCTCCAATGGTCCCACAAGCAGCAACAGCCAAACTTCCCGAAGCATGTACGAGTGATCCCACGACCGGGACCCCTCCATCATCTACCGAAACAACATCGTCAGCCTCCACAGCACCTTCTCTCATGTACGGATCTCTCCAAACTCTGATCATGCCATCCGTTCCCCCAGCCCAAACCTCATGCGAGAGACCCTCGATATCATACGGTGAGGCCCCAGCATTCCAGATATCGAAACCAAGTTTCTGCCTCGTGAGCGCCTTCCTCCCTGCGCAGTAACCTAAGGAGAGAGAAAAGTTACGGACGTCGTATATGAGGAGGACGTCTGAACTGCGCTCAGCGACGTAGAGATATTTGCCGCAAGGACTCCATTTGAGAGACGAAACGCCATCGCCCATGACGTGATTGAGCTTCTCATTGCGAAATTTGATGCCGTTTGTTGTTCCTGGGAGGGAGAAATGTGTTATTTCGTTGCCGCCGACAGAGTCGTAGATGCCGATGTAGCGGGTCCGTGATCCTGCTGCTAAGAGGCCGTCATGCGAGGTGTGCGAGGGTGGAGAGATAGCGAGGGCGGAGACCCAACCCTTGAACCCACGGCCGCCGCCTTTGAGTTTGTTACGCTTGGCGGGGATGGTGTGGATCGTGTGGATGGGTTTGTCGGTTTCTTGGAGGTCGAATATGGCGATTTCGTCCTTTGCACCTCCAAAGAAATGGGTGGCGCCGTTGGAGTAGACGAGACTGATGGGTGCGACCACGGCTTCAGTGAGACCATTGATTAGTTTATAAGATGCTAGAGGGGTGGATATATCCACAGGCCCTGCACTTGTAGCGGGACTGGCGTCGTTGTTGGTAGCTCTCGGGGTACCCCACAACGCGTTGTGTAGACTGATATAGGTGTCTCGTCGACTGAGTAGCACAGTCGTACTGCTGGCATCTTGCAAGTTGAAAAGCGGATTGACAGCAAAGGCCCAGATAGGATCGGAGGAGTGGAGAGATGCATAAGGTGCGAGATTCTGGACGACGGTCTGGCTTAGAATGTCGTTCGAGATAGGATACACAGAAAACCGACGGCTATAGTCTGATGTAAAGACGCAGCTACCGTCTGGAGACAGCTGGGCTTCTTGTATGCAGCTCATGTAACGTTCGCTGTCCAACGAAGAGTCTGAGATAATAGAATCACTACCATGTTCGGAATCTGATTCTGATTCTGATTCTGGTGATGAGTCTGAAGGATTCGATGAACGGCTGTCTCTATGGCGATCGTCACTTTCGTTTTCCGGTTCGTCTTGCTTTGACTGTTGTTGTGCACCATCATGGCTGGCCACCGACCTCGTCCTTTCATCCTCTACTCCATCTGCTTCGGCAGAACCTAGGTTCCCATGCACTTCCTTATTCTGACCCTTCTCTTGCACATCGCATTTCGAAACTCTCGTGCTAGCCAGACATCTGACACTGATAGCAAAACCGCTCATCGTTCAACGCGCCATGTTCTTTTATGAAATTCCCTCGCTGGATACGAAAAGAGAATCTGTAATTTCGCAAACCGGGAGTTGTGTCAGAAAGGTATTTCAAGTGTTAAAGAGAGCCAACCAGTCGGGAAGAAGGTGCAGCTAGCTTGCGCACAGACGCTTCGTTCCTGGAACTCATCGTCTCGAGAACGTCGTCATGGGTCTCGAATTACTTTCCCACCATGCTGCACGCGCTCGACTCCAAGTCAGCACCACCACCACCACAAGCATGGGTTGAGTCGCCATACTTGCGGTCGCTCGTTGTAAGTACTTACCCTGATCACCACCAGAATATTACCATCCCTTTCCACCCAACCTCCGAATATCGGATTTGGTGCGACTCTTCGCATTTCTTACAAAACAGCCCACTTACACCCCACCCTAGGCCGGCGGTATGGCAGGCACGACAGTAGACCTCTCTCTCTACCCTCTTGACACGCTTAAAACCCGTCTCCAATCTGCATCCGGTTTCGCCGCAGCCGGCGGCTTCAATGGCATATACCGCGGCGTGGGCAGCGCAATCGTCGGTTCCGCTCCCGGCGCCGCCCTCTTCTTCATAACATACGACACGATAAAACGATCGTTCTCTCAAAATGTACCGGCTACGATCAAGTACAACGCGGAGGGGAAACCGTACAAAGAGGACGTAAGAGATGGCGGGACAGAGGCTCTGGTACACATGCTAGCAGCTAGTGCGGGAGAGGTCGCGGCGTGTGCTGTACGTGTACCAACAGAGGTTATCAAGCAGAGGGCGCAAGCGAGTCAGCATCCGAGTTCGCGGGAGGCACTCGCGTTTGTGCTTAGGCAGCGGCATACCAAGGGGTTGGCGCATGTGTGGATGGAATTGTATCGCGGGTGGTCGATAACGATCATCCGTGAGGTGCCTTTCACGGTCATCCAATTCCCACTCTGGGAGGCGTTGAAGAAGTGGCGCATGGCGAGGACAGGGAGGACGGAGGTTAGTGGGTGGGAAGGAGGACTGTTGGGTAGTGTGGCGGGCGCTGTGGCTGCGGGCGTTACGACACCGTTGGATGTGTTGAAAACGAGAATGATGCTTGCTAGGGAGAAACAGCCTATGCTTACTATGCTGTCAACTATCATGAGAGAATCGGGTCCAAGGGCTTTCTTTGCGGGCCTGGGCCCGCGCGTTGGCTGGATCAGTGTGGGTGGTGCCATCTTCCTTGGCTCATACCAATGGGCGAGTAATGCCTTGGGTGGTGTAGGCGAGGACTGAAATGGTACAATCTACTTCACGATTCAGATGAGCCGGGAGACGGGCATCAAAAGGAACGTCCATGACTGCATATGGTATCGACTCCATCTTGCTTGGGCCCATGAGGCCGAGCCCACCGACTCGTGTATGAGTCTACTGGCAAGCAGGTATGCTATGTACACTATTCAAAACTCTGACTCTGAACCAAGAATAATATCTAACGTCCACAACTTGGCCGCATTCTAGCCGCCTTTTCTCCTTCCATCTATCCAACCCGACCCAGCCCCAACACTCCTCAAGGTCCAAACATGGCAGCATCCTTGGTACTCCTATCCGCCTCGCTGCTCTGCTTTCCCTCACTTGCATTACTACTACCCGGTCCCGAGTTCAAGCCAGCGCCAACCTTCAATCCATGTATAGGACCGGGCGGGGCACCAGATTGCGGACCAGGATAAGGAGCGTGTCTGATCTCTTTGCGGCCGTTGGCCTTGTAAAGAAGAAGTACGTCACCGCCACCGCGCCAGACGTGTGCGCGGATACTAGCAAGCGTCATCGTTGGAGGAATCAACTATCCAAGATTAGCATCGCTCATCGACCAATATCAAACACAAATTTCAACAAGAAAACTTACCTGTCCATTACAATACAGCTCCAGATACTCATCAGGCTTCAGCACACCACCTGTCTCGGCCTGCTTTTCCAGATCCTCCTTGGTGGGCGCAGGTTCAATGCGCTCAGCCACGTAACCCAATATCTTGCGCGCACGCAGCATGCGGTTTGCGTTGAGACGGTTGTTGCTGAGTTTCGAATTAGCCAAGGCTGCGGTTTCGAAGGGAAGGGAAAAGGGAATGTACCCGTCGGAAGAAATGGACGGCAGTGCGTTGCCAAAGGGTTCGAGGACGAAGGATACTTTGACTATGTCCTTGGGTGGGAGTTGGTTCTGTCGTAGTTAGTTCATGGTATTCGTAGAGTTTAATGCAGATGATCAACTCACCCGTAGCAAGACTTCGGCCAACCACATTGGTGCCGCTTTCTCGATGAGGTCAGCCTGCGAACCCAAGGTGCCGACTTTACCCTCGAAGAGATCAGCCACACCGCCAGAGTCTGGACGATCTTCCTGGATCAAAATGGTAGTCATGGCAGGTGGCTTTAGTACAGGTGTTTCGTTGGGCAAACTGGGCGCAATCTGCGTATCCAACTTTGTCGCGCCGGCTGCAAGTTGCTCCTCATAGCCCTGCTGTATCCGTTGAAGAGCTCCGTAGAAGTTATCTTCGATGGTCTTCTCGTTTGTCTTGGTAGATCGCGAATCGCTGTCTTCGGCCTTTTCGTCAACAGCGGGCTTGGCAGGCTCAGGGACGGCTGTGCCAGTGCTGAACTTCTTCATGCTGAAGCCCATGTTGAACTTCTTACCAAACATGCCTTTGCCCTTTTTCGCTGGCGTGTCGGCCTCGGTAGGTGATTGTACGGTTTCTTCTTTTGAATCTGTGGAGCCTTCCTTGGTAGCCTCTGCGGACTTTCCGTTTCCGTTTCCGTTGGTAGCAGAAGCGGAACCAAAATAGTCGCCACCTTCTTGAGTCGAGCTCCGCTGGGTCTGTGTCTTCTCTAGTTGCGAGCCTTCTTCTTTGGTTGGAGTCAGAGGGTTGGTGGTAGAGTTGCGTCCCGCACTCATTGGTGCTGCCATTGGCGTAGCTAGACCGATAGCCAAACCTGGTGTGTGCGGCAGACGCAATCCGTTCTCGGCCTTGATAGTCGAACCCGAAGTAGGTCCTGAAGTTGCATCCTTCCATCCGTTTATGTTCATGTTTGGCAGCTCGATGTTAGTTGGGCGATTGGGCTGCGGCTGTTCCTCCTTCTGCTTGAGCAAATCTGCACGCAGGACCTCATCGCGCTTGATCTCCTCGTCGATGAGATTGGAGAAGAGATAGCGTAAGATCCACTTGCCAAGATTTATGCGATGGTCTTCTCGGAACTCAATCTGCTCCTCTAGGTCCAACTCGTCTGCGTATGTCTCGGCATCAAAGCAGTAGTTCTCCTCGAGCATACATGTCAAGGTTCCTATCCTTGTGTCGACGGCGCACCAGTGTGCAACGCTGTCCTGGGTGTTAACCTCCGGTAGTACATCTTCCATATGCTTTTTGCCGTAGGATTTGATGGGTGCACATTGCAGTAGATCCCACAAAACCACTTCTCCCGCAGTATCAAGTGTAAGGACTCTTCGCCGGTCGTTGAGGAGGTGGTGCTTGATGAGACCATTCTGCCCTTCGATTGTAAAGTCTGGCAGAGCCCGAACAGTTCCAATGGCATTATGCTCTGGGGCTGCCAGTACCTCGGATGGTTTGCGCGCGCTGGCTAGAGTGGATGCGTCGGGGTCCTTGGTCGCAAGCGCTCGCGGGAAGGGTGCGGTGTTGGACATGCGCAGTAGAGACTTGAGCGGTATCTTGGATGCCGCTTCGTTCTTTGGAGGGCTACCAGCAGGAGGCGAGGGAATCCGCGATTGCATAGTCGACACGCTGTTTCTCTGCCACCTGTGCGATTCGGGAAGCTCAACCTCAGCCGCGGTTTCGACGTCGTTCCATCGGTTGATGCTCGAGCTGGACGTGGCAGTCCAGATGTAATCGCCAGCTGCGACGATCTTGTTCACACCCTCGTGTTCCTGGCATACTGCTAGCGAAAGTCCCTCGTCCATCTCGGCGCAGTTGCGCACATCGCTCTTTGCGACTATGCCGGAGCGATCTGAGGAGTAGAAGACGTCGAGTTCGGGTGAGTCTGAATGCAGAGACCATACGCTGTCGTTGTGCATGGTCAGTGTGTACATGCAGCGACCTGCCGTCATGGACCAGACCTTGACTGTTTGGTCGGACGAGCCAGTCAGGATGGTGTCGCCGTCGTGCGCGAGAAGGATGTCGCGTACGTTGTCGGTGTGTCCGACAAACTTGGTGATGCGCTTGCCCGATCGCGCGTCCCATACGCGGACGATGCTCTCAGGACCGCCACTTGCGATGAGGTTGGGTGTTGCTGCCAGGGCATAGACGGAGCCCTTTGCGGTATTCTCGTCCTCGCCCACTGCGATTTCCAGCTTCTTGCCCGCGCCATTGAGATCCCAGAGGCTGATCTTGCGGTCCAGCCCGCCCGAGGCTACCCAGTTCTCGCTGCCGCCCGGCGATGCGACGCGCTTGACATAGTCGGTGTGCAGGCCGATTGTCTGGGGCGGGAGTTTGTCCGTGGCAGCAGGTCGCCACACTTTTACGGTGATGTCGGACGAGGCAGAGACGAGGGCGTCGTTGTTCTGGGCGAGGACAATGTCATTGATCCAGTGCGTGTGCGCCTGCACCTGGTTGCGGAACTGGGTTGGCGGGGGCTTGGAGTCGACGACGTTGGAGTCAGCAAAAGGGTCGCTGTCGTCGTCGTCGGCGTCGGCGTCGGTCTTGTCGAGGTCGAGATGCAGGTCCCATGCGCATATTACGCCATCACGTCCGCCCGAGTACAGGATCGAGTTCTGGGGGTCGACGGCCAAGCCATTGACTCCGAGCCTGTGTCCTCCGGCCGAGTTGGCGAGTGGCAGCACTGGGGAGGCGTCAGTCGCGACGGCGCACGCAGCAGCAGCCGACACTTACCGTACGAGATACGCTTCCGCGCGTTGCGTCCCATGCCCCTCGATTAGCCCTGCGCGGACATGCGGACGGCGATGAGGGTGGGAGGGTAGGTAGAGAGCTTGCTGATACCTGTCCACGGGCGTTATGTTATTATGGGGGGTGAAGGGCGGTTTGGTAGAAGGATGCAAGGCGGGCTCCAGGTCCCCTGCCCAGGTGCATCATAGTCCAACCCGCGCCCGGACATGTTACCAGGACCAGGACGGACTGGGCCATTGCGGCGCGGAGAAGCTTGGAAGCTTGCGAGGCTGAGCAGTGCACGCCCCAAAGACCACCCGCGCCTGTCACTCGGGTCGAGAGGAGAGAATACGTCATTGGCCGCCAAGGCCTGAACATCTATGCTATCGTCAAGCTGTTGGCCAAACTTCACGCCCAGCAACAAAGAGCCTCTACCAGCTGGCTTCCCGGCAACGTGGGCGCAGGGCAGGTTGCGGGGTTGGTAGCCCACGAGCCGGGCGTTCGCATTCGGACTACGGCTGATTCGGGCGGCTAGTCGGCTATCCAGCGACATGGTACAGCATGCCCTGCATTATCACTTTCATTATTCCACAGCACACGCCTACTGCTCTACACTCTTCGCCGCCCGAACCATACATCCATGCCAGTCCTTTCCTTCACCGCCCCAAGGCACACGATCCCACTCAAGCGCCTTCACCACTTCGAATCCCCTCCTCTCATATATAGGCCTTCCCGTCATCGTCGAATCCAAATATGTCACCAGTCCCTCTTCGTCAGCCTTCCGCATCCCCCAATCTAGCATCAACTTCCCTGCCCCACGACCTTGATGATCTGGATGTGTCGCGAGCTGATTCAGCATAAAGTAAGGCGTCGATGTGCCCATAATGGAAGCTTGAGCAGCCCGTAGAGGACCCAACAATGACCCCAGAACATCGAGACGCAGTTCCGGAGGCAGGAAACCAGGCATACTCTCCTCTTCTCCTCCTCCTGTTTGCATGTTATGCATACTCCACACTGATACAGCGATCGTGCGCCCGCCGTTATCTGATGGGTCGTCGGAGCTGGGCTCGAGATCTGTGTCTACGACCTTCCAGTGCCATGTGTTTGGCTTCTCAATCTCACTTTTGCGGTCATCCGCTACACCGTGTATCGAGGCTTCGCTAATAGGTCCGCTGTGCACCACGTCGTGTGTCGGACCGTAGTAGGCGAGTGCGCGAACTCGTGTCCAGGACAGCGTGTCTTCCGTCGTCATTGGATGAAGTTGAAGTGGCATGGCAGTCATGTAGAAGCTTCCAGGAGCAGTGCACTTCAGACGTAGAACATGGCAAACGACCATGTGGCACCATCCATCATTTTGGAGCTTGTAGTCGATGACTCAGAGCATTGATACGACATAAGGCATCCATTGGTTCGCAGGCTCAACACGGCACCATGCAGGCACTGGACTTTGGGCGTCACCCCAACACATATCTACCTTCCTGATCCGGAAGCAGTGCTGACACAATGCCTCAGTTGGATACCTTTCGCCATCACTACACAATATCTCATGCAACGACGTATCGAATGTATGAGAAAGAGGCGTCGAAGCATTCTGGGTCGAGGTGGAAGCTAAGGCGGGGCAAGATGGCACTACAGCTCCAGGTAACAAAGAAGCTATGCCAAAAAAGCTTAGAAAGATACCTAGGTATACCGTGTTTTTATCAGAAGATAGATAGTGTGATTGCTCGTGAGGATATTAATATCAATAGTTGATCATCTGCAACTGATTCATGTAAGCATAATCACAGTGGCTATGGTTTGCGATCACCTTGATATACCTGGGTGGTGGTGGTGCAGCCACAGCTTGAAGGCCCTTTGCTGCAGGGTTAACAGACATCTGCATAGCGTATCTCTTCGCATTCCTGTACCTAAGTACCGTTGACAAGTCATTGTTCGATACTGGAACAATGACGGGAGGAGACTTCCGTCAACGACGCTACGCGACTAAATAGTGGCTGCGCCACATTTGCGAAGCTGCTGCCTACTTGTTCACATAAACTTCATCGCAGCTGTTCAGGTCTTTCTCAAACCATTGCCAGCAACACAGGAAGGACAAAACAAGTCTGGGGTACGAACAGATCCAACGCACTGCAATGGCAAATTTTGGAGCTCGTCACGCAATCTGCGAAGACACCATCGCGCGATCCCCATCTATTGCAGCATCAACAACAGGCGGCTCCCTCACCAGCTACTTCATCCCCTCCCAACTCCCGCCTCTCTCTAAAACATCACCCAAATACCCAAACCTTGCCCCGCAAACACCTCCAGCAATTTACAACAGCGACTCCTTCGCCCTCGCGAGAATAATCCCCGGTAGCGGAAAAATCGGGGTCCTAAACCTAGCCTCCGACATAGAACCAGGCGGCGGCTGGCGCTACACGCTTTCGCGAACGCAAGAAGAGGCCTTGTGCTACTCTAGCACGCTGTACGCTACTTTGAAGCCGGAATGGTACCCCTGGCCTAATACGGGAAAAGGGTCTATTGCAGGCGTCATGTCCCCCAACGTGGTCGTCTTCAGGGACACGCTAGATAATGGGCTCGCCGAGTTGCCTGTAGATCAGCGCCATGTCGTGGCTGTCATGACGGTTGCGGCGCCGTGTCTACCCGCTGTTACGGAGGGAAGAAAAGATTTCGTTAAGATGGAGGATTTGGAGAATCTGAGGGAGAAGATTCTGTTGGTATTGAGGATGGCTGCGGGAGAAGGAGTTACGAGGCTGGTGCTGGGTGCTATGGGTTGCGGTGCTTATAGGTGTCCGCCTCGAGTTGTTGCAAAGGAGATGAAGATGGCTTTGGAGAGTGAGGAGTTCGCAGGATGGTTCGAGAGTATCGCTTTTGCTGTCTATGCTGCTGGACCAATCGGGCAGAAGAACCTGGAGGTTTTTCGGGAAGTCTTTGTATCTGAAGTCATGTGAGTGCTAATGCGCGTACTTGCCATGCTTGTAATATAGTCAAAACTTGGCTCGCTTGCACTAAAGGTTATGGGACAAGTCTGTAAGAATAAAGTTTGATGAAACCTGCAACTATATGTTGTCTAAAGATATTTACATAAAAGTTTTGATGGAGCAAAGTAGATACAGAGAAGATGGGTGGCACGTCCTTAAACTTGCGGAGGCCACGCGCCTAGCATCGGTCATGCAGGCGATTGCATATGCACCACTAGGATGCTCTAGATCTTGCCAACACCAGCAGTGTTGGCGACGTTTGAGCTCGCCGCTGCAGCACTGGCAACGTTCTTGCCCTTGAAGTTGACTAGGAAGTCCGTTTGGCTGCCACTGAAGCTGCCACTGCTTCCGAAGGCATTAAGCTGGCAGGTGTGGCCGAGGGAGCTTGAGCAAACAGCGTTTGCGGAGGTTGAAGGTGCAGAGAAGAGCTGTCCGTTGTTGTTCAAGAGGGGAGTATTGACGTTCTGGAATACGTTGCCCTCAGCGACGACCATACCGCCGGCCTCAATGTCAAAAGCGTGGCCGGTGTTACTGTAGAAGTAGTTGTTGACAGCATGGAGCAGTGTGTTTCCTTGTCCACCGACCTTGGGGCTGCGGCCAGAGGTGTGATGGATGTAGTTGCCCTTCATAGTGATGAGGTCTCCGCCACCAAGGAGCAAGATAGCCCAGTAGTGACGTCCATCGCAAGAAGCAGACCAAGAGGTTTGACCGTCAAACTCCGTGTTGCTAATTGTCACGCGGTTGGAGTTACCGTAACCGGCAACGAACATTTGGCGACCGATGAGGGAGATCTTGACGTGATCTGTTGTATGTGTCAGCTTGGTAGTGAGCGTGGAGTGGAAGAATTAACATACCGACCCAGACTAGATCAGCTCCGTCGAGAGTGATAGCGTCACCACCCCAGATATACTGAGGGTTGAGTTCGGTGATATGGATGTTTTGAATGATGATGTTCTTTGCGCCGTTGGCAATGCGGAGACCCTTTCCGCGGATAACACCCTTGTTGCCAACACCGATGATGGACTTGTTGGAGCCCAGGTTGATAGCAGTCACACCAGCATTGTCGTACTTAACAGTAACCGATGTGGCACCCGCTCCGGCGTTTCCGTTGGTACACCAGTTGGCGGAGTTGATAGCATCCTGACCTCCGTTGCCAGGGCATTTGTTGGAGGCAGGACGGCAACCAGTGGCAGTCGTAGTTCCCTCTGTACCCTTGAAGTTGTACTCTTTGTCGAGCACGATACAACGCGCAGTGCTATCGGTGAGCCACGTCTTCAGTTCTGACACTGAAGAAGGAACGACACATGCTGCACTACCACCTCCGGTCGTTCCTTTTCCGAAACCCTCAGGTGTGCCCTTGACAGCATATGCTGCCCTTTCTCCGATGACGGCGGCGCTGGCTGTGTAAGCGCTTGCAAGCGCGAGAAGGGAGAACTTCATAATGAAATTTTGATGAGAAGATGCTTGCCTGAAGCTAAGAAGAAAGTTGACTGTGTGAAAGGAGTGGATTGGTAGTATGGGTAGCCCATTACCATTGAGATATCTGCTCTTTTTAAAGCATTTCCTATACTAGCTTGGAGACTACCCCACTGGAAGAGCATTCCGATACCCATGTCGGCATCGAGATAGATTCAACGTCGAGGAGAGTAGTTTTTGCGTGTTAGTGGTATTTCCGCCATTAGCAAGACGGAAGGACCAGCGCTTTGTGATGATAGGGGCATAGTAAAGCACCAGCTCATGGCGCTAGCGCACCCTCTAAATGACAGCGGCGCAGTCACGTACGCCACAGGGCCTCTGAGTAGTTTGACAGCTATCCGGATCCTTGTAGTTTTGTTCGCTTCAGGTACTATCGCCGGTGGTTCGCTGCCATCGATTCAGGAACCGGAGATATGTTTGCATCCTTCTGATGTTCACACCTCGCCTGTTCCTTGCCCCTCTTCTGTCTTCATCCTTCAGCCCTGACGGACCTCATCGCTGGAATTTCTTGTGGGTACTCTGTGAGCGGAGTTTTTGATTATGCGATCTAGTTGTTGACCGTACTTGTCTGCATGTGTAGTCAAGGGATATCTTTTTCTCATCCGCAGGTCGGTCCGAATGACCACACCACATAATCGTTAGATCCTACAGTAGCTACTCGTCTTTTTGCGACCAGCATTGAGCTAGGTTATGGTCAGTTGACTTATCTTCATATACAGATGGCGCTTGAGCGGTGGAAAATAAGGTGAACCTCGGCGTTCTCTTCGGAAACGGGTAGGGCGGATATGTGACGGGCTAGCACGTTTCGTCTCTCCGCACTTTGACCTACGTTAGCGCACCATATGCCGGCGCTAAGACTTACCACAAGCAAGCCCAAGCAAATCTCGGCAATGTTTTGCCCGATAACAAGCAGGAGTCCTTGTGTCTGGTACCAGTATTCCAGCCAAAACACATGTCCTACTATATTCATTTTGTGACGACATCATCTTTGACAAGATGACGTTGCAGCCATTGCAAGGCTACCCCAGGTGTACTACTTCAAGGCGTGTTCGTTCATTTCGCAATTCGCATAACGGAAGCTGCTTTCCACGTCTGTCACACGTCGGAAGAATACTTACGCGCGCGGCTCGTCCGATTCTCAAATGACATGACACAACTGATGCGGACAATAATCTGGTGGATATGGATGTTCATTATCCACTTGCACGTGGTGACCAAATCTTCGGGAGACGAATCGTAAAGTCCAGACTCTTCGGTCGGCTGTTATTTTTTTTCTCTTATATGTTGTTCGTGTCCTTGTGCATACGACTTCTCAAAGCATCAAAATTGGGTTGTTTGAACGTTCTCATGGCCACAGTCGCATGTTCAGACATACTCCCTATCCACACAACTCTGGATCATGCCCTTGTTAGTAGCTTCGTACTCAATCAGATCGACCTTTCCGTCCTTCTCGACTGTGTTTGCTTGGACAAACACCTTCCTCGGTTGCTTCTTCTTCAGAACAGCTGGTCTGACCATATTCTCGTAGAAGGGTTCGACACTGGTGATTTCGTCATACATCCTCTTCGCGGCTGTAACATCCGCAGTTGCCTTGTAGATATGGAGCTTCTGAAGATAGTCATTCACGGCAGGGCGACCTAGATCTAGGATGCGATCGCGCTCAAGGCGGATAGTGAGGTCGGAGAGATCGTCCTTCTCCCATTCCAGCTGGCAGAACTCGACACCAGCATTGAGGAATGTGCGCAAGATAGAGAAGCGGGCCTGCATGTGGGCCTGACCCCACTTCCTGCTCTTGGGATCCCAGAACTCCAGAGCTGCAATACCCGCACGAGCCATTTGGAGGTATGCAGTGAACAGAACATCTCCCGCCTCGCTGTTCATGTCGGCTTTGCCGTCACCGAAGCCGAAAAGTTGCAGTATGGGAAATTCGCAAGAGAGCGCCATAGCGACGCACTCGGCGCGGCATTCCTCATAGGAAGCAGCGATAGTACCAAATGTCGACCCCCACGTCTGGCCAGGCTTGTACCAGGATTTTATTGGCTGGCCGCTTAGTGGTGAAATCGGAGGGTTCTCCTTATCGAAGTTGAAAACGCCCGGCTCCGTCTCCTGAAGCAGCTTACCACATCCGTGGCCGAGCAGCTCGTGGAGACCGACCTGGACCTCGAAGGCAGGATCTCGGTACTTCTGGTAGGTTGCTAGATCACGCTCTTTGATGAATGGAACGCTCTCGTTGGGTGCCTTGGCAGAAAGAATGTTGCCAAGAGATACGTTTTTGAAACCAAAGTTCTGCCGAATGTCATCGTAGTTTGGAATGTTGATCCCGGCCGGTATGCTGTTTGGTGTTAGATGAGTGGTGAGACGATGGAAACTACGAAGACTTACCCACTGCCCGCAAACGTCAACACCTCGAGCGACGTAAAGTCCGGACTGAGGAACTTGTCCTTTTCGAAAGACTTGTCCCACGGTAATAGAGGAATGTACTGTGGGGCTGTCTCGACCAACTTGCCAAAGGCGCGCGTCCGCTCCTTGTTCACCATGGCCACGAAGCCTTCCCACTCGCCGCGGATGCCGTGTGGGTCGCGATACGTCTCGATGAAGCCGATGTCGGATTCTACTTGAGGGCCCTTGTCCTGTACCCAGGCCTTTTGGCTCTCCTTGAAGGCCTGTAGTGATCCTGTCCTGAAGCTCTTGGAGTACTCTTCCATCATCTTAACTTCGTGGTCGTTAGCTGCGTATTTCTTTGCCTGCTCGATATGGTATGCAATGGTGTCCATCTCTTTGGAGTAGTCACCAAAGACCAGCTTCAGCTTGCTTCCATCGTCCATTGTCCACTCGCTTTCCTTCAAGTCCCGTTGTTCTGCCGCTGGGCTGTCCGAAGCGGACGCAATGAGAACCTCGTAACCGTCCTTGGTCTTCCTGATCCTTGTGTTTTCGGGAAGCAATCCTTTTCCTTCGAGGAAATCGCTCACGCTGGAGATCTGCTCGCTGGTGATGTCGGGGCTATCAGGGTAGTAGGTGGATATGTGCCCTGCACCGGGATAACCCAGGTGCAGCTTCCCTACATCATTGCCGGTGTATATGGCGTCCTTGAACTTGTCGTAGATGGCTAGGGTGTCTTTGGATGCGGTCGCGAGTGCCTTCAGCTGGCGGGGGTCGAGGCGGGGTACGAACTTGGAGTCGCCAAAGGACTTGAAGTTGCCTAGGTTGCCTAGGAACTGCGCTGAGTAATCGAGGTATGCGTCAATCTCTTCCTGTGAAAGACCGGTATCTTTGGCGAGGGAAGCATAGTCGCCCTTGGTGTGCTTGTGGAGAGCGACGATGAAGTCATAGATGTGCTCGGATTCGGGGGAGACTTGGCGAAGGACGACGCGTGTTCCGGCGAAACAGGCTCTACGATACGCATCAATTGCAATGTCACAGACAGCCGATGAATGCACATGTCTTACACTGAGAGGTGGTGGGCATAGAGCTTCTCTTTGTCCGTCAGCGCATCGAAGTGGGGCTTGATGGCCAGAGGCACGACAGAAGGCGGGCTGTCGGCCAGGTACTGCTTGAGCGTCTCTGAGTCTATCTTGGCGGACATGTTGGTGGTTGTGGTGGTAGTAGTAGTAGTCGAGGAGCGTCTAAAGAGCTCGAGGTGCAGTGGCGGGGAGCGGGCCCGGCAGCGTGGGCGTGGGGTAGCCGCTGTCCGTACATAAGCTCGCGGGAGTTTCGCGTCTGACGACGTGCCACGCGGTTGGCAAAAAAGCCCTGGCCGCGCAAAGTACCTGCAGGAACGCACAGGAATCACTACCAAGAGCCTTGGGTTTAGACTTCTCCTTAACTTGAGTTGTGGACAATCACTCACTCTGTGTCTCTAGTTTCTTACTTCTTTCGCAGTTGTAACCAAAGTCGAGTACACGCGCAGCCCTGCAAGCAGAACGATTGTTCGCTTAGCCTTAGTGAGGAACCTAGCGTTTCGCCCTCTGCCAACCGCCTGTCTTCTTGCTGCCAATTGCATCCATGCCGATGTGCTCTTCAATCTCCTGCTGAAGTCTTTTCCACAGTGCAGTTGCCTTCGTGAGCGGGTATAAGAGGAATTGGCCGCTGCCGCCAACGCTGCCGAGATGGTGTTGCCGGAGCAAGTGTATGCAAAAAGTAAAGAGTATGACGACGTGATGATCAGTTATTTCTTCCAAGTTCTTCAACATTGCCCTCCGCAAGCATGATCTAACGTCAATCTTTCCTGTATCTAGGCGGCGTCATACTGGTCAACTTTCCCATCCTCAACATCTCCACCGGCACTTTCGACTCGACTCACCGCCACCATGGACGATATTCCCGACGAGCTGCTCCTCCACATCGTGGGCCAACTTAGAGGTCCCACGAGCTGGACAGAACCAGCCGACGACGGTCGAATGCCTGCCCTTGCAGCTCTTTGTCGCGTCTCGAAGAAACTAAATAGTATCGCAAGACCATTGCTCTACGAGTCGATAGACCGCCCTCCAGCTGACATCAAGTTGAAATGGTCATGGAAATTTCTGAAACATGTTCTATCACAGCCTGATATTCGTTTGCACATCAAGGCTCTTCGGCAAAAGCAACCTGCTATGAAATCCTTGGTCCATTGGCCTAAGTTCGAAGGCAATGAAGAGAAACGTTTCCTAGAATTGTGGATATTGACTGGGCTGGATGCGAAATCTTCTCGACTTTGTCAACAACGATTCGCCAATCGCGAGGATGTGTTCTTCGCTTTAGCGGCTTTTTGGTTGCCTAACTTGGAGCGTATATGGATCCGATTGCCATCATGCAATGTGATCGGTGGAACATGTCTTCTTCTTGAGGGAATTGGTAGGACGATCATGGGCAGACATTCACCAGCGCGCCACAATTTCCAAAATCTAAAGACTCTATACATCGATTTCCACTCGACGCCTGTCATGTCAACAGCATCCGTTCTGCCTTTGTTACTTCTGCCTAGCCTAGATGATCTTACCCTCGGCTCATGGGGCTGCAGACCAAATACGCCAGGGGCAATGCCCCCATTTCTCACCGACGAGAACGACTCCATCGTATACAACGTTCCATGGAGATGGCCTATACGCTCGTCGCCTATTTCTAAGCTCTCGCTGATCAGACCTTATGTCTCTGAGAACATGGTCAAGAAGGTGATACGCGCGTGTAAAGCTCTACAACAGTTTGAATGCACCCTTCCTACGCCCCATCGTCCTGGGGATCGCTGGTTCGGCAGCATTGTTTCTGCGTTAAATGATCACTCTGAGAGTCTTGAGGACCTGTCCGTCGCGTGTCGAGTAGTATATGGTGCTTCGCCGGCAAAATACCGTCTGGCTCAGCTCGAACCTCTCAGTAACCTGACAAACTTGAAATCGATAAGAGTCCCTTTGTATCTGGTTTCTGATCCAGATAGAAGCGAGAGAAGTGTTCTACAATTCTTCCCGCAAAGCATCGAACACGTGCACATCGAATGGCTCCGTGCGCTGAACGTCAGAGCTGACAAACAACTTCCTGGCATCCTTGCGATGCGCAAAGCAGGATATTTCACATCCCTTCGGCATGTATACGTCACATGGGTCCATTTTCGAGAACACGGAGACGAAGAGTATGACTTGCTTGAAAACCTTCGTTTGTTGCTTCATATTAGAGAGCAATACGAATCATCATCTATAAAGTTTGACATCTTATTCGTACTCGAGGATGACAAAAGTAGGTAACAAATGATAGAGAGTTCGCCGAGCAACGCTGACCGCCACTAGAATCCAACATAAAATGGCCTAAAATAGCCGAAATGAAAGAACTAATAATGGATGGAACATATCTGCAAACTCGCAAGGGCCATTCGGATCCAAGCGTTTTCGTTCGTTTTACAACGTGTCCTGGTCGCTACACAGCGGAGGAACAGGAAGATGATCGAGACCGTGGGTACGTCTGGGTACCTAGGTAGGATTCCCAGGTTCAACACATCGAGAACAAGCCTCCAAGGCACCAATTGGAGCACTATTATGTGGTGTAAACATAAGTTAGAAGGAGGACTTTTACTTACATGTGCACGCCGAGAGCGACTTATGAGAAGGGTTGACCCCACAGACATTATCGATTCATCTAAGGATATCTATCCCGACCATTTCAGAAGGAAATGATTATTAGAGAAGAAGAGAATCACTTACAAGTGAGTGCGATACCTGCGCAGTCCTGCTCAGCTAGGCGGAGGATAACCTGTAACGTTTGGAGGACGTCTTAAGAGACGAAACAACTTCTATGGAAGAAAGAAGCTTCTCTTTATAAATCCTGAGCTCGAGGCCCTAGTGAGCTCTAGACAGGAAAAACCTAGGAGGATCGAAGAGTACGGCATCGAAGTCAGCACCTTGGTTGCCGCGCCTGGAGTACGGTTTTTTGGAGGTCTCGGGGTGAGAAAAGATGCCCTACCAGTGTTAGAACAACGAACCAATCACTACCTTGACTCATCGAATGGGTCGAGATTGAATCTGATATCAAAATGGCATTTGGGAATATAGTAGGAGAACTATTGCACACCCTATACTCTGTCTGCAACACTGTGTAACATCGTTGGTTTGTAACTCTGTAGTACCTTTTCTAGTATCAATTTACAGTTTAGAGAGGGTGAGCTTCTTCGTGAGCTTACGCTTAGAAGGAATTACCAAAAGAGTTTGCGGAGCAAGAAACGAAGAGACGCGATATGGTTGGTATGATGCGACTACTACACAAAAGACCTATCTCAAGCCTTCGCCATGGATTTCAAATATTGCGCACTATGTGGGTAGTCGATGTATCCCTTTGGTGTTTTCGGGGTATAGAAAACTGAACGGTCATACTTGACCAGCGGTACGCTCTCCTTGACGCGAAAGACAAGATCGGGGTTGGCGACGAAGTACCTTCCGAATGCAATGATGACATCGTAGTCCTTGTATGCTTCGTCAACAGTCTGCTTCGCCGAATCGGGTAGGAAACCTCCAGCCAGCATGACTGGACTTGCGTTATCCCACAGTTCAACCATCCAGCGCACAGTCTTCTGTCCTCCGCATTCCGAATCGTCGTTGCCGGTAATGCGGGCTTCGATAAGGTGGAGGTAAGCTAAGCCTAGTTTCTTTAACTCTTCCGTAAGGTACTTGAAGGTCGGCTCGGGCTCGTCCATTAGCATGCCATTAAAGTCGCTGTAAGGACTCAGACGCATTGCCGTTCTTTCTGTGCCGACAGCCGCAATTACTGCCTTGATTACTTCGAGGTGAAATCGCGCTCTTTGCTCAATAGTGCCTCCCCAACTATCTGTCCGTTGGTTGCAGGTCGTCTGTAAGAATTGATCCGGTAGATACCCGTTAGCACCGTGTATCTCGACACCATCAAATCCTGCAGCAATCGCGTTCTTAGCTGCAGAGGCATAATCTTCTATCGTGGCCCAGATCATCTCCTCGGTCATCGCTTCTGGTGTCCGATCTTGAGGACTCATGGGGACCGCACTGGCGGAGACCATCTTAATACATTCCTCGTCTAGCGTATCGGGCTTCGCAGCACGGCCTTGATGCCAAAGTTGGCAGTATATCGCACAGCCTTTGGCGTGTACTGCTGTTGTGATATCTTTCCATGCATCAATCTGATTTTGCGACCATATTCCAGGGGCGTTCCGACATCCAATAGCGTTCCTAGAGATGATGGTTGCCTCACTGACGATGAGGGTTCCTGGTACACATGCTCTTTGCTCATAGTACTCTAGAACAGTCTGTTAAAATCGTTCCTTTGCGACGATAGCAGTACATATACCTTTGCTCATGGGCGTCGCTTTGAAGTCATCGTCCATACGATACCGGGTCAACGGTGCCATAGCGACACGATGGTCTAGCTTAACATCCCCGACTGTCAACGGGGTAAAAAGTCGTGACATCTCAGCAGGCGATACTGATTTTGTTTGAAAGATATGCAAGCTTTGATGATTCTTGCCGAAACCGAGTTTGCTCGCTATATCAATACTTCGTTGTTGTTTGGTACTTGTGTAGCTGCGGACCATCACACGTATTATGGACATTAGCTAGGACCCAACGATGAATTGCTGTACTCGTTATCAGCAGCTCATAGCCCGCCTGACACACGACGTCTGTCAGGCTCACCCGTGATGCCGAGATTCGGCTGGACATTTGGAGTGCCATTCTCAGCATTCTGATCCGATATCTATGGGAGTTGCAACCAACGAAGGATCAGGGGTTGGAGATGCGTCGGCTGAAAAAGTCCCGATAAGAGGTCGCTATGCTAAAACGACCCACTTGGCGCCCCTGCCTCCGCCGGCTGCTTTCATCCGCAATGCCACTTACGCCATCGAAGCGTGTCAGCATTTCTGCCACGCGCGTACACAGCTTAGCTGTAACTGGCTACTCTCGCAATGTCTCTGAGGGGAAAATACGTACCGATCCTGCAGGTGTCAATAGGCGTCATTGCGAGGCCCCGTCCCGCCCGGACAGCCTCCCGAAGCTCCACGTCCAGCTTCAACGCTAGCCACGATGTTTGGGACCGTTGATCTTGTGCCTAATATACCCGTCCGAAAATTCGCTATGGTTTTGAGGCTCATTGCGATCCCGGAAGAATACCACGATGAGAGACCAACAGGCCTCCGTTAATGAGACGGACTCGATGCAGCTCGACAAAGAAAACAACATATGCGTTGATCATACTCTTGCTGAGAAGCCATCCGGAGACGACGAGCCAGACGACCTAGGAACACATACGAAAAACTTTCACAGTCCACCCGCTTCGCCTACCATCCAACAAGCCGAGGATGACGACGATAGTGATGCGGCATCCATTGGCGGGCAAAGAAACACCATGACATCTACCCAACTCCGAATCGCCATTCCAGCTCTATCAGTCTGCCTCTTCGTCTCGTTTATCGACCAAACTAGCGTTTCAACAGCAACACCTGCAATCGCTGTGGATTTGAACACCGGAACAGCAACATCATGGATCGGTACATCGTTTCTCATCGCATCGACGGCGTTCCAACTGATCAATGGCCGTCTATCGGATATCTTTGGTCGTAAGAATCTGTTACTGATTAGTCTTACGTTGATGGCTCTGGGAGACCTTGGATGTGGTTTCGCGCGAACAGCAGTGCAGCTGTTTGTCCTACGTGCCATTGCGGGTATCGGCGGCGGTGGCATTAACAGTCTTGTAATGATTATCGTCAGCGATATCACAACGTTGCAAAACCGCGGCAAATATCAGGGTGAGAAACCCAGTCTACGCATAATCACACGATGCTAATACTTCTGTCTAGGATGGCTGGGTGCAATCATCGCTTTGGGAAACGGCGCAGGCCCCTTCCTTGGAGGCGCCATCGTTGAAGGGGCGACTTGGAGGTGGGTATTTTGGATAATACCTATTATGAGTGTGCCCACTTCCATGGTTATCCTATTCTTCCTACCGCTAAAGCATCGATCTGGCGATCACCTCGAAAAGATCAAGAAGATTGATTACGGCGGTATGCTGCTAAACATTGCATCCACCCTGCTCCTGCTCATTCCATTATCAGGGGGCGGTGTAACCTACGCATGGGCCTCTCCATTTTTCATCGCTTGCACTGCTATTGGTGCAGTGTTAGGCGTACTATTCGTGCTCTACGAGTGGAAACTTGTGGCTCTTCCAATCATGCCACTTCGACTGTACCGCGCACCGCACTGTTGGGCACTATATCTGCAGACATTCCTCATAGGTCTTGCGTACTTCGGCAACTTTTTCTACCTTCCAATTTACTTCCAGTCGGTTCTCAGGTATTCGCCCCTGGTTTCCGGTGCCTTGATCCTGCCGGTGGTTATCACGACCTCTTTCACGTCTATCGCATCAGGCCAGTACATGAACAGGGTCGGCAGCTATATGCACTGCATCCTGCTCGGCTTTGGTTTGTGGACTCTAGGCAATGGCCTCACCTTATTATTCGACCGAGATACGAGTCTTGCTGTGTTGATCGTTGTCCTCATCATAGAAGGTGCTGGTATTGGTCTGACGCTCCAGCCGACACTTGTGGGCATGTACGCCAATAGTCGCGCAGAGGATCGTGCAGTGACGACCGGCTTGCGTAACTTTATCCGCACTATTGGTGGTGCTTTTGGCTTGGTCATCTCCGGTGTCATCCTCTCAAATACGCTCAGTCGAGACTTGTCGAACAGGTCTTTCGTGTCAGACGATCTGATGAGCCAACTAACATCCTCAACGTACGACCTTGACCAGTTTGGTCTTTCCCAAGACCAAAAGCAAGACGTTTTCGACACGTATATGCTTGGCCTACACTACATTTTCATCTTTTTCACTGTTTGCTCCGGTCTAAGCTTGTCTTTGACATTCTGGGTTGGTAACACTAGTCTGAAAGCACCCAAAAAGCTGGACGAGGAAGGAGCACAGCCGACAATACCGCCGGATGAGCCTCAACAAGAAATTATCCATGGCGAAGAAGTTGAGACAAAGCAAAGGATGTCTGATGAGAAATCGAGGATAGGAGACGCCGTATAGCAAACAACGTCTGCTCAAGTCGAATAGCGACATGACGAATTCATGAGATATACGGCCGAGACAGCGAATCATCAAAGCATTTTTGCACACAATCAAAGGTTCTCTGTGACACCCAATTATTAGCATATTGTGACACCAAATCCTCAGCATATCATAAAATCCCTCGATCATGCCCTTGTTCGGCACCGTCCATAACTCATCACAGTCAAACAAGTGAAGCGATAGCGATTGCATTGGAACATCCAGGGCCTGTGGGGTAGCGACATCGGAACATGGACGCGATTGTTCTCCGCTGTACCTCATTACTCACAATCAAAGTACCAGAAAGCTGTCTCCAGATCAACCTGGGCTTTACCCTGGGTATGCCGACATAGGTAGGTCCTGTGCAGCCCCACAAAAGTCGGTCGTTATCGGCGACGTACGATTGGCCTGTCCCCTCATCTCAGCGATCCCCCTCACGGCAATGTTCCACATGCGGTTCTTTCCAAGCCGATAACTACTCCATTCTTCTGATAACACTGTGGTGGGTCGCATTCGGCCGCAATAATGAGATCTCATCGTGAGGCACGGCAAGGCCTGGCATGTCGCCGATTACGTGAAGGCGTCACGGATGAGAATGGCCGATAGCTTGGTAGATGATGAGGAAAGGCTATCGCGAGATGCTCCGCTGATGGTACATATATGTTTGCGTCGCAAAGCCTGAGTATCGTCTACGTCAAAACTAGTATATCCTCTATTACCAGGTCTTACCTCCCAGTCTTCAAGTACTTTCATCATGCCTGAAGTTTATGCCGCACCACCTGACTATGCCTTCCCACGCGAATTCAAAGGTTACGGCGAGAAGGGTCTTCAGGGCTTAAAATGGCCCAACAATGCCAAGGTTGCCGTGTCTTTCGTCATCAACTATGAGGAGGTAAGTTGCCGCCTAGTTACTCTTTACTCTAGAAATGTCGTTAACATACCAAAGGGCGGCGAACGCTCTGTGATGAAAGGCGATGGAGTTTCCGAGATCAACCTTCGTGAATACCCAGCGCAACACAGAATAAACGAACGCGACTACAGCGGCGAGTCAGAATTCGAATATGGTTCCCGTCGTGGATGGTGGCGTATCTTCAAGCTGTTCAACGATTACAAGATGAAGTTTACCCTCTACGCTGTCGGCTCAGCCGTAGAAGAACAACCAGAGGCTGTCATCCGAAGCGTGGAAGAAGGCCATGATATCGCTTCTCATGCTTACCGCTGGATAGACCATGCCAACCTCTCTGTGGAGGCTGAGAAACAGCACATCAGAGATGGTATCACATCATTGAAGAAGCTTGCTGGCTACGCACCAAAGGGATGGTACTATGGTCGTCCATCACCACAGAGCAGAGCTCTGATTCCGCTCGTATATGAGGAGATGGGCGAAGAACTTCTATGGGCTAGCGATACATACGCCGATGACCTTCCTTACTGGACCGACCTGCCTCACGAGCGTGGCAGCGCAAACCCCAAAGGTTGTTTGATGGTTCCCTACAGCTACGACTGCAACGACTTCAAATTCCACTGTCAAGGAACTGGCTTCCGCAGCTCGGGAGCTTTCTACGAGCATTTGAAGAATGCTTTCGATGTGCTGTATGAGGAGGGCGAAGCGGGTGAGCCAAAGATGATGACTATCGGGTTACATTGCCGAATCATTGGCAGGCCAGGAAGGTTCAAGGCGCTTCAAGACTTTGTGAAGTATATCTCGGAAAAGGAAGGGGTTTGGGTTGCGACTCGGACTCAAATAGCAGAGTCTTTCAGAGAACAGTTTCCTTACAAGAAGGGCCAGCTCGCGTAGATAATCAATAAGAAATTGTTGAATGTTGAACCTGGATCATCTTCGGTACATAAAAGGCCATTATGAATGGTATAAATGAGGACGACGGCTATGAAGTTGCCTATCTATACTCTCCGAAGTTCCATTGACTACCATCCACCATACCGCGGGTGTCCATCTGCATTGCTGCGTCTTGGATTGGATCCACGCCATAAAATCCGGAACCATCGTAAGCATCCCAGCTCATCTCAGTCTGATTTTGACTCACACCATCGAATCGCATTGCTGCACTTGCTGCAGAGGTCGTATCATCGCTTACCATCTCGTTGAACATACGCCACCCTTGCCATCCGCCGGGTGCCTCTTCATCAACCTCCATAAAAGCCTCTTTCACAGCGTCCGTGACCATGTGCGACATGGTAGGTTTGTTGCTATACGTTGGAAGGTGTGACGCTTGTTCGCGACTCTCTCGTCGACTCCGCGGCGTTATACCAGGCTCTGCATCCATATCAAGCTGCAGCGGTCTCGAACCGTTACCGTGCATCGTCGTGGTAGGCGTCGAGTTGACAATCGTCTTGAACAAGCTGCCGGATAATGCATCGAAGATGTCGCGATATTTGACGGCGCCGGGCCATTTCTCGCCGAAGATGGTCAAGATCTGTGAGCAGGCCCGTGTTGCCTCTAGAACATCGTAGGAAAAGAGAGATCGATCCCGCCAAATGCAGTACACCAGTGTCAAACCAGCTACGAAGCACGAATGGAGAGAGATCATAGTGTAGGTCAGTGTTCGGTTCTGACTCAATCGCTTGTATGCGTTACAAACACAAGCCGCTGAGCGCGCACATGTGATGAAGCGCATGTCTGATGTGTCGAGTGTAGGAAGAAAGACGGTGAAAAGGAACAGCATTGCTTTGTGGTACTGAACACCATAAAAGTCTCGTGCGTCAAGATATGCGCTTTCCGGATCGTACATCCAAGTGATCTTGTTTTCCTTCTTCGGTGTCTGCGGATAGGTTCGCAGCCATTCGTCCAGATCGCTCCGAATGGCAGCCATCTTTCGGTCAAGTTTAGCCCGCTGTTCCGGTGTCCCATTGAAGACATCTCTATCAACGCGAAATACTGCTTTATGAATGCGTGACTGGATCTGATCAAGTTTGATGATGTGTATGAAAGGCTCGATATTTGACCACTGGGCTTTATCCGAGTCTGGAACTTCTGAATGTGTCAAAGTATAGAACTCAGGACTGGTACTAGGAAGCTTTTGAACACGTCAGTGAATACACCATAACTTGGTTTGGCAGCATACCTCGACGTTAATGTCTCGATCAGCGATAGCAAAAGCCCTGCCAAGCACAATACTAGTCACCCTATCAAGGCAGTAACACGCCCAGAAATTACGCCGCCGAATTTCTGCATCTCTTGCGTGCGCAGGGGAGTCCATCACCGTCTTCTTCCTGTGCAAGCCCATCTCGATGCACACGGATGTTGCGAATCGGATCTGAGACCAGGCGCCTGCACCATAAGGTGACCTCTGGCCGTGTACTCCGAGCAAGATAAGGAATTGTACCGTCGCAAGGTTGTGCTGGTCTAAAATATAGTCCATAGGCTCGGTAGCTGCAACAAGATGATGCTGCGATCTGTGAGTTTCATAGCATAGTCTGCACTAGGAGGTCTTACCTCTGAATCTATACCACAAGGCTTTCGCGTTAGAGACAGGAAGCGAGCAGTTATGGCATATATTAAATGGAACATGCTGCGTTCAATGATAGTCAGGGCGCCTCGAACAAATTGCTTTTCGAAAAGTCTTGTATAAACCACGCGATCTAGCAACGGCCAGCGCGTATGTATGCGTTCGAAGAAGACATCAAACAACATACGCGCCTGCTGTCGATCCGGAAAGTCGGCGCCGGTCTCTTCGGAATGAGTAGATTCAGGAGGGGCAGGTGGTCTCGAAGTTCCCGTAGCCTGGCATGTTTGAGACACGGGTTGAGTAACTGCTCTCTTGCCAGAACTTCGGAAGATGGAGGACTGGATGATGCGAGCAATGGTGGCACCGGAACTAGAGCCAACATAGTAAGGTTCTGAGGTTGTATCTGTGGTTCCAGATGCGCATAAAGACAGATAGGCAACGCCGTCAACGAGTGAGGTCCGATCCTCACCCTCGAGATCTTCAGAAAAACAGTCTTCTCGGGATTCGCGGCGCGATGCACTGGGCTGAGGCTGGAGAACCGGAGCGGGCTCTTCAACATTCATAGAAGACGTGTTCTGTAGACTCTCTGGGCCATTGTCATAGTGGTCCTCAGCATGATCGGGGAGGCGGGCCTCAAGAAAGGCGATTCGTTCTTCTAAAGCATTGATATAGCTGAGGAGTTAGAACCAGATCGCAGGTACGTTAAAGACCACAGGATGAACCTACACAGACTTGCCGCCAGGGTACTGAGGACGAATGGTCCTCTCATACGCACAAGCTACGCCAGCTCGCTGGCACGATCTGCAGACTGGACGTGCACCATCACACTACATCATCTTTAGCCCATGCTCTCGCAGCAGGCAATGTGCGACGTGACGTACACGCTGCTTTCTCCGCTTGCACCTTTTGCAAGCCAAGGCGACGCGAGACTTCCTAGTTGCAGGAGGTGGAGGACTCGTGGCGTTTGACTGAGCTTGAGCAGCGGAATTCGATACCAGTACTGGATCCGCTGCCGAACCTATCACCCCCTGGCTGGTAGAGGGGCTTACGGGGCTCTCTGGGTAGGACTGCAACATGACCTCGTCGTCGAGAGTATGGCAAGAAAGTGACAGCCCTGCAGCTTTCGGCTCGAATCCATACCGTTTAGATCCATATTTCTCCACGTGCGATAGTCCATTGAAGAGGTGGGATCTATGAGCCGACGTGTGTCTTATCGCGAATTGTCCCGAACAGGCTAAGATGACACATCACGTGGTCTTATCTCGGCTGCATTCATCCATGGGGTTGGGGTCTCCAAAGATTACAGAAGGACTACGCCGCAACAAGAAACATGTCGGAGTTGTACAGCATCCTCCTATCTCTACCCCTGCTGTTTATCGCGTCGCAGGTGCTCCTGTAAGGCTTGGGGAGAACTGATGCGCGCATGGCAGCATGGTCGGCTAAAAACTCGCCGAAAGAGGCTTCTCTAGAAGCCATGCCTTTGGTCAATCAAGGTCCGATATGCCTGTGATACGTGAACGATCTGGAGTTGGCGCAAGGTCCGATCGACATATGAGAAACCATGGTCCGCCAACATGAAGATGGTTTGGAAGGCTGTGACCATCCAGTAGTCAATCACACCAGACCACTACAGCACTATGGGAAGAGTCCAGTTCCCGACCAAGGACCGGTTCGCAGCACCCTTCCGTTCCAAGGAAGCGTTTGTCGACTTCATCAAAGCCCCACAAGGCAATGATGGTCACGCCCCAATTGGCGACGAAAGATGGTCCAACAAAGATCTTGAGCCAACGCCAGTTGAACAGAGAACTTGGACTTGGTGAGTACCATCAATGACGAATACTTTGAAGCGTCTTCTGACAGATGAAGGTTTAATTTGCCGTTGTACTGGTTCTCCAACCAATTCTCCCTTGTTGGCTGGAACACTGGCTCCGCTCTCGTAACCGTCGGCCTGACGTGGCAACAATCCTTCGTATCGGCCTGCATTGGCTCTTTCCTTGCTGCGGTCGTAGTTGTTCTCATGGCCCGACCAGGCGTGAAGTATCACATCGGATTTCCCGTCATCGCAAGATCAGTACGTAACGCCGTTGTACGAACTGCATGTGAGACATATACTGACTTGGTACACCAATCTCTAGGTCATGGGAATGTACGGCTCTTACTTCTTCGTCTTCATCAGAGCCATGGTGTGCATCATCTGGTACGGCATTCAATCCTTCTACGCCGGGAACATCCTCTCGGTGATGCTCCGTTGCATCTTCGGTAGCTCTTGGGAGAACTTTACGAACACTCTTTCTCCTACTGCAAGTGTCACCTCAAAGCAACTTTTGGCTTTTTTCATGGCTTGGCTGATGGAGTTTCCGTTCATGTGGGTCCATCCCAGGCACATCCACTACATCTTCACGGTGAAAGGGTTCATCATGCCAATTGCGGCTTTTGCAGTGTTCGGATGGTGCATGGCCAACGGAGGTGGACTGGGCGCAATGGACCTTGCTTCCAACGAAGGCGAGCTTGCTGCCTCGGTGACCCCTCTAGGATGGAGCATCATGGCCGGCATTAATACCATCTTCGGTTCCCTCTCGCCTATGTTGGTCAACCAACCCGATCTTGCTCGATACTGCAAAAAGCCTCGAGATGCTGGTATAACCCAGGGTATCAGTGTCTTCGTGGCCTCCATTATCGTGTTCTTCTTGGGCATGGCCTCTACGACTTCTATGCAGGCAGCATATGGCGTTGCCTACTGGAATATTTGGGACCTCTTCGAGGCTATTCTGGACCACCATTTCGGCGCTGGTGCGCGTGCGGGTATTTTCTTCGCGGCTCTGGCATTCTATCTCGGAGTCTTTGCGACGAACTTTGGGGCGAACTCCATTCCATTTGGAAGTGATATGACTGGTCTCTTCCCAAAATGGCTTACCATTCGTCGTGGCCAGGTGCTTTGCGCCATCCTCGGTGTAGTCGTGCAGCCGTGGCAGTTGATGAAGAATGCTTCAGCCTTCTTGAGGTAAGCTTTTAATTGAGTCTCGCATTGATCATACTAACAGTCGACAAGTTTCCTGGGTTCCTATAACATCTTCATGGCACCTCTTTGCGGCGTCATCATCGTCGATTATTTCATCGCACGAAAGGGAAACATACATGTACCATCTTGCTACGATGGCAAAAAGACAGGCCTCTACTGGTTCTGGTCCGGTGTAAATTGGAGCGGCGTGGTGGCATGGCTACTTGGTACTACTATGGGCATTCCAGGACTCATCGGCCAGTACGAGCCGCAGATCATATCGGCAGCTGCACAAAATATGTACCGTATGGGCTGGCTGTTGACCTTCTTCACGGCAGCGACGATTTACTGCGTCCTTACTCTCTTAGTCAAACCTCGAGTATTCCCAGTCGGACGAGAGAGCACACCGTTTGAACGGGAATGGCTAGCGAACGAGGGCCGCGAGGGCTTCTACGACGGAGATAGAGATGGTGGAGAGATTTATGCCGCTGCAACGCCTCCTATGACTGATGGAGGAGACGACGTTGAGATTGGCGAGAAGTCACCGAAGGTTACCTTCTAAGTCCAGAGAAGCGAGAAATAGTGCGGTAGAGCCGAAATCGTGTCCACACATCTACATAACTGAACTATGATAACCTGAAACCATATGTTCTGTGAATCAATCGTGCTACTTCTTTGCAGCCTATACCAGAACGTGTGTAAGATTCTTTGACAAGCTATCAGGTCCAGAAGCCACTTCTTCCTGTGCTCCACATGCTGATCAATTGAAGTTCCGATCGGAACCGACGTTCCGAAAAGGTGGGATGCCGTTATCGGCTCTAACTGTGAGTACCTTACCCTTGTAAGACAAGTACTAGGCTATCGCAATCAGCGGGCCTACACGGGACATGTAACAGCTGCCTGTTGCGATGCGGGTCACTTGAGCCGATGGCATCGTTAACGCGTCGTTGCCTTCGGCGTCTAATGACACCACAACTTTACAACTCAAAGAGACCACGTCTTCAATCCTCTCATCATAACACCGCAGCAAACCTCAATTGTCACCTACGTACATAGTAGCAGCAGCTATATAGAAATAGTTAGATCGTCGAAATCTACGAGACCATGAGCTCAGATCTCTACAGACTCACAGCCAGCGAGATCTCGGCGAAGATCAAAGCAGGCGAAACTTCAGTCGAAGAATACGCGAAATCACTTCTTGCACGCATCGAATCGCGCGATGAGGCCGTTCAAGCATGGGCATACCTTGATCCCGAGTATGTTATCGAGCAGGCGAGAGCGCTCGACGCCATTCCAACAGCTGAACGGGGACCGCTGCATGGCGTTGCCATCGCCGTAAAGGATGTCATCTACACCAAGGGTGAGCCACCGGGATTGCCGTTCAATCCGACTTGACTGATCTTCTAGAAATGCCTACACAATTCAACTCACCCATATATGCCAACGACGCGCCACAAGTAGATGCTGGCTCCATAGCGATACTACGCAAGAACGGCGCACTCATCTTCGGCAAAACAACCACGACCGAGTTTGCTGCAACGACCACCGGCCCAAAAACACGGAATCCGCACGACCCGAAGCGTACTCCTGGCGGCTCTTCATCCGGATCTGGAGCCGCAGTAGGCGATTTTCAAGCACCTATTGGTCTAGGTACGCAGACTGGTGGTAGCACCATTCGCCCTGGCTCGTACAACGGCATCTACGCTCTCAAGCCCACATGGAACTCTATAACCCGCGAAGGCCAAAAGATCTACTCGCTAATTCTGGATACACTTGGTCTCTACGCCCGCAGCGTGGCTGACCTGGAACTCCTCGCCGACGCCTTTGCCATTCACGATGATGCTCCGCCTCCAACAGATTACACAGTGAAAGGTGCGAAGTTCGCCTTTCTCAAAACGATGGTCTGGCCAAACGTTGGTCCTGGCACCTCGGCCGCACTTGACAAAGCTGTCTCGCTCCTTCGTGCACACGGAGCTGAGGTCGAGGAGATTGAGTTCCCAGAGTATCTGAATGAGTTGCCAAATCGGCACGCGACAGTACTCAACTCTGACGGCCGAACTGCGTTTCTTCCAGAATATACGGTCGCTAAGGACAAGATCTCGGAACAGCTCGTAGGCCATGTTGAGAACAGCGGAAAGATTTCGCGCAAGGCGCAACTTGAAGCCTTTGACGAGATCGCAGCAGCAAGGCCGATCGTGGACGATATACTTGGCAGATACGATGCCGTACTTACACCGAGTGTGCCAGACGAGGCGCCGTTGGGGATTGAGAAGACAGGAAGTGCGGCTTTTTGTTTGATCTGGACAGTAGGTTATGCCGTAAACTAGCGGGTGAGACTTGACTAATACGCGTGAAGGCACTGCATACACCAGTAGTAAACGTTCCAGGGTTCAAAGGCGAAAATGGAATGCCAATCGGCATATCGCTCGTTGCGCCTCGCTACCATGACAGACGATTGCTCGCTGTAAGCAAAAAGGTGGGTGAGATCTTCGAAGCTGAGGGTGGATGGAAACGTTCTGTATAGGTTTATTGTAGATGCGAATCAACAGATTGGACCATAACAACTCTGAAACATTCATGCAATACGTATGTCGACGACATGGATCTGTTGTGTGTTTGCGTAGAAAGCTGGACGGGATATGTAGAGGTAGATTACATAATGCGGCGGTCGGCGGTTGACTGCAGACATTCGCCGACAGCCTTAGAGCTTCGCGTGTCCCGACATCATCATCATCGCTTGCATCCAATCTCACAATCATGGCGCCGCGCACACGGCTGGCAGCCACTACGGCTTCCGGACTACTGCGAAGCTCAAGGCGGCTCGCAATCCCAAGAAAATCTCCACTTGCTACTGTTCTGACAGCGTCGTCGGTCCGCAGCTTCTCGCAGCTCAACTCGCACTCCGCCACAGATCCGACCAATGTCTTCGCTTCTTTCGGCAGCTCCAGCTCCAACTCCAAGTCCGGGCTTCCCTCTTATTTTTCGTCAAGCAAGCGTCTGCCGACAAACACAGTGATCCGCTTCGTGCCACAGCAAACAGCATGGATTGTAGAGCGCATGGGAAAGTTCAACCGCATACTGGAGCCGGGTCTTGCCGTCCTGATACCCTTCATTGACAGGATCGCCTATGTCCGGAGTCTGAAGGAGAATGCCATCGAGATTCCCAGCCAGAGTGCCATCACAGCGGACAATGTCACGTTGGAGCTGGATGGTGTGCTTTACACCAGGGTCTTCGACGCATACAAGGCCAGGTAAGCATACCACACTACAAGAGCCACTGGCGGGTCTGACAAGTCGCAGTTATGGTGTAGAAGATGCCGAGTACGCCATCTCCCAACTGGCGCAAACCACGATGCGCTCCGAGATCGGTCAGCTCTCCCTCGACCACGTCCTCAAAGAACGCGCCAACCTGAACGCCAATATCACGGCCGCCATCAACGAGGCAGCACAAGACTGGGGCGTCACTTGTCTCCGATACGAGATCCGTGACATCCACGCACCCGAGCCCGTCGTCGAAGCCATGCACCGCCAAGTAACTGCCGAACGTTCAAAGCGAGCCGAGATCCTGGAATCAGAAGGTCAGAGACAGTCTGCTATCAACATCGCCGAGGGAAAGAAACAGTCAGTCATCCTGGCCTCTGAGGCCTTGAGGGCTGAGCAGATCAACATGGCAAACGGAGAGGCTGAGGCTATCTTGTTGAAGGCTACTGCTACTGCCAACGGCATTGACGCAGTTGCTCGCTCCATCTCTCAAGGCGGGGGCGCAGCGCAGAACGCCATCTCGCTTTCCGTGGCTGAGAAGTACGTGGATGCATTCGGCAACCTGGCTAAGGAGGGCACAAGCATTGTTGTTCCGGGCAATGTTGGCGATATGAGTGGCATGATCGCTAGCGCCATGGCAGTATACGGCAACGTCAATGCTTCCCAAGCAAAGGCGCAAGCGTCCAAGATGGTCGAGGGCGGCAACAACAAGCAAATCCAAGAGCTCCAGAGCAAGTTGAACGATGCTGAGAGTGGATCGAACCAGATGCACAACGAGATCAACAGGGTCATGGACGAGAGGTTGAACAAGCGGTAGCCAGTACCCTTGGATGAGCGATGACGGGGCAGGAACGGGATACGACTGTACATTATACCACGCTGTATAACTAGCAACGAACCAGCAAGCGATTGCATTGGGGTTACGGTTATTGGATATGGGCATGACCCAAAAACAAGCATCATTCGCGGAGTCTTCTCTCTTCCACTTTGGAACTCTACTTCTCGTATGTGTATAGAGGATAGCGAACACAACGACACTTCACTTCCAATCTGAATTCTAAACCAACCGCTCCACGGCTTCAGCAGCAAGAATCGCGATTTGCTTTCCGTCTTCCCATATCCAATCATGACCGCCCTTGAGATCCCGCACATTGACCACTCTTCTTCCTTCAGCCTTGACTTCGTCTTCATCATCCCCAACTTCCATGACAATATTGAACCCCTCCCTATCCAGCGCAACACACATGACATCCCTCTGGGCTCTCTCCACCAGTTCGTCTTCGTAGCTATGGCATAGCACCAACAGCTTACCCTCCGGCCACTGTTGTGCATTGTACTTGCCCGAAACAGGTGACACGGCCTGCCACTCTGCTTGATCCTCACCAAAAGCCCCGATGATGAAGTTTTTATATATTTCCGAAATGTACTCTGGAGTTGTAGGCGGAAGATGATTCCGAATGAGTAGCGGTAGGTTGTATATGCCTGATATCAAAATCAAGGCTTCTGGTTGCGGGGAAGGAATAAGTTCAGCGGTAAGACCGACATGAGAGATGAGTTGGCAGAGCAGTGTAGCGCCGCAGGAATGTCCTATTCCTATCCATCTCTTCATCCCGTATTCGCGCTGTAGGTGTTGTATTCCGTGCGCGACGTCGCGAACATGTTGTGGGTGTCTAGCAGATCGCTCAGGATCGCCAGGTGTACTTGGCTGTGTCGTGTGATCGGGGTAAGGAGAAAGTCTATAATTCAGACTTGCGATACCTGCGATGTTGTCCAGCGTTGCCGAGTGCGAAGCGACAAGATGTTTGATAGTAGGCTCAAAGCTTTGCGATTCTATGAGGGGGTCGCGCCATGCGCCGCCGTGGATGTAGACTAGCCATATCGCGTTGTTGGCATTTTTGGACGTCTCCTCGAGGGGCCGGGGTAGCCAGATGTCGAGGGTCTGAAGGCGACTTGGGGGATCGCTGTAGGGGATGGAAGGGATGTGTCTGGGGAAAGTGGTGGCTGTCATGTTTCAATCAGATTGGGTGAGGTAATGTTTTGGCGGGGTGTTTGGCAAATGCTAAGCAGTGAGGTTTGCCGACCTCGGCATTGATGTCAGTCATGGCCAAAGTTGATCGGGAACATTTATACTTTTGGATGTGCGAAGAAACTTGTTGACGGCGGCTTCTTTTCGTTCACAGCAAAGAACCAAGTCACGAGGGCTCAACTGTATCGGAACGGAACGTACCCGACGGTCGGTTGATCCGTCCGATGCTGATATGTCTGAGCATCGCAAGGGTTAAATGCCAATATCCATTTCAATAGATGCATCACAAGCAAGAACGTCTAAGCAATCGTTTTGTATCCAAATGTTTGATATATTTCCCAACATCATGTACAAAAAAGTACTACTAACATGGCCGATGTTTTCATCCAAGCCATGATTAAACTTAACAGACATTATTCCCGTCAAAGACACATGCCAGTGCCGACGCCGAAGTATTGCAATGCAAATCTGTTACGCAATGCTAATGCAAGACCCAAGGTATCTTAAGGACCGCTATCCTCATAAAAATAAAACGTCGAAGCTAAAACGAACAAACAATGCGATCAATGCGTTTACAAGAACGCAGCCATGAAGGCACCGAAACCGACAAGGCTACCAGCGGCAGCCTTGACGTTGACGGCAGCACCGGTGGCGTCAGCACCAGAGCCAGAGCCAGTAGCAGTACCAGAGGCGTCAGAGCCAGTGGCATCAGCACCGCTGCGAGATGCGCCGGAGCCAGTAGCGTCGGCGTCAGAGTTGGTAGGCGAGGCAACAAGAGCGACGGTAGTGCTGTTGTTGGCGCTGACGGTGACAGTGCGGGTGGAGTTAACCATGGAGCCGGTGCCGGTTCCAGCAAGAGTGAGGGTGTGGACACCAGGGCCAACGGCAGGGATGTCAGCAGGTACTGGCTGAGTAGTGACAGCAGCGGGCTGGCTGGTGACAGCGTCAGGCTGAGTAGCGATGGAAGTGTCAGCCGCGGGCATGCCAGTTACGACACCGAGAGAGTTGGTCTGGGTGAGGTAGGTAGTCTGGGGGGCCGGGTCGATGGAGGATGAGGGAGCGGAGGATGAGTCCTGGCTGAATGTTAGCGGTCCATTCGGCATAGTATGCGAATTGATGGATTAGAGCGTACCTGGGCCGATGCAACGGCGAAAGCAACAGCGGAGACGAAGATAGAGGCGCGCATATTGACGGTTGTGTTGTGTTTGTTTGGAACGATTGAACTCTGTAGCGATAGTCTTTGACGAAAAGGATGTCAAGTAGCGATTGGGACGATGCGAATAGTGATTGAGTGATGCGAGATGAGAAGCAAACTTCAAGCTTCGTGAGAGACGCGTCCTCCTTTTATTGCCTCTGCTCCATTTCACCCGCACCCAAGAGCAAGCATCGGAGCTAACCCTGGCCCTGGAACGCCACTTTGACCCGGCAACCAGCCCTAACGCGAGCCCCATACTATCCCTGAACAGGCGGACTGTCGTCCAGACAAGCGTCTAGCGGCCTCCACAACCAATAATAGCATTCTCCGTGGCGAGGATGTTTCGTGTTCGTGATCGAGGCGGAGATTTTTTCTATTGAATAGACTTCTCCTTCCAGGCGTCCAGACGGCGATCCATATCATCAACCTTCACATGGGTAGCCTGGATGACTGTCGTCGCTGTAAGATTCGAGATGGAAGCTTGTGTGTCGTTGCGCCGACCCAGGTGAGCCTCAGGCGCTTCCTGCTGTGCCTCTTCCCAGCCATGCTTCCTGCCCCGGGTTTCGAAACCAATTCGCATCCTGCAACCCGTATGGTGCCACCAAACAAACCATGTTCCTGTAGGAACAGTGCACATCTTGTCGTCATTTCCCCATCCAATCGCCTGTTTACCCTAGCACATCCTCCACTTTCTCTCGTTTTTTTGCGCCCATGCACTTCATGCACCGGTCAAACGTCAAACGGCTACCCACCACCCACCTGTTGCTTTCCCAACCATTTTCCCAACCACATGTGCGCCAGCCTTGGGCTATGCTGACACATAATCGATACCGAGCCGCAAAACGCTAATCCCCAGACACGCGCTATAGCTTAGCATGCCGCAGGTGCAGAATCTTCGCGTTGTTGATGGCAAGACTAATTACGCGTCCAATGAAGTTAGCCTACTAAAATTAGTTGTCTTGTCGGCGTGACCTCGTGTCGAGAAGATTCGTTGTGCTGTCACCCCGGTGGCCGTGCGTCTTCGTAAAGTGCGGGCTGAGCAGGGGGCCTGGAACGGAAAACGGGCCCGGAGTCAGTCTGGGCTAAGGCTGGTGGGAAGCGAAATGGTGATGTGATGCGAGCGGGTTGCTGCGATCGAGATGTCGGGACGTCCGTTGAGTAACGTTGATCTTTCAGGCGCAGGTTCAATTGACATGCGCATAGGGGGTCGCGATTCCAAGGTTCAACAGATGGCGCGCTTGCTGCATGCAGCGCGCCAAGGAAGTGACAGGCAAGACTGCGAGACACCTCTTCTCAACCTCGCCAGGCCGCCAACACTCTTACAACATTCTCATGAAGATGCAACGCCCTACAGGGCGCAGTCCTCAGCGCACCGCCTATTTTCGACTCCCCGCAGGATCAGCGATTGATCATATGTGGGCACAGTGGCGCCGGCGCGATCACGTTAGAAGGGGCTTTGCGTGTGGGTCTGGCTTACCACATGTCTAACATCCAAGATGAAATGCGACACAAGAGGCGGGCAGGCAGCGATGGTTTCGACCTATCAAGCCACAATCTTTGACATATCTTTCAGAAAGCTTACATGTTCCTCTGAAATGTCGACAAATCCGCGAAGATTATCTATCTGACGGCTAAGCGTGAGAAACTCTCAACAACATCTCTGACGATCCGACATACCTCGCCAATACCGTCTTGCACCATCGTCAACAGGTTCTACGAATGCGACGGACCCGTTCTACCTTAACACGCCAGGATACAAATCCCATTATCTGATTCACAACGCACTGTTGAAAGGCACAGTGAATCGTATCTCGAGTACCAGCAGTGAAATATAGCACTGCCATGGCGAATAACGTGAGGGCACATAGACCATAAGTAACTTTCTTGCCTGCACTCGCTGTAAGCCATTATCCATAGGTAACCTCCACGTTCTCCATAGTTTCTTTCTCAACACTATCAGATCTCACCTTGCACACTCTCATTCATGTTTAGTTGCAAAACTAGCGCTTTATCTCAATTTCAATCACATCCCTATCAGTCATGACACAAACAAGTAAGACGAAGGGACGCATTACCTACATATGAACGCACTTCCAGAGCTACTGAAACAGTTATTGGCCACATCAATTCCAGCAATGCACTCGATGCCATTCACGGGCACACTTCCAGATATATAGTCTGATATTATCTCTCGTCTCTCAGCCTAGTTGCGTCATATAGTCTACTCAGACCTCAACATACCCGTTGAGGCCATGTTTGGATTGACTGCCGCAGCGACTCTACCTGTACTGATACCTCCCACATCATCTTCTTCGCCGATGCCGAGTGGCCCATGAGGGTGCACACGTCTCTTGGAGAATTCCAGGTGCGACGGAAGATTAATAATTTGCTCTCATACCGAGGCTTCCGGGAAATACTTGCTGAGCTGGATAATGGAGATATCATCGGTTGTAACAGCCGCGTTTTTATTGAGTGAAACTTGCTGTGCATCAACAAAGCTATAAGGATGGAGCTCATGGATCTGGTGTCCGGACGTAACGAAGTCGAAGTGAGTTTTCCGATGCATGATGAACTTGATCACATCCTGAGTTATACAGGGTAAGCCATATTCGTACCATAAACCACGTTCATCGCCTCCCTTCGGCACTAGCACGTATGATAACGGTTACTATCAGGAGCTCCGAACGCGAGATATAGAATGGCTGCCAATCTCTTCAGTTCATCGCGGTGAACTTTGCCAATTTGCGCCGTCTGACGTATCACATACAGTCAACGTCGTTATATCTGACCCCTACCGAAGAAGTCATCGCCCTAGTAGAGGCGTTTAGGGCTATTGCAGTGACCGCGAAGAAGCTTGAGATGCTACACTTTGCATAGAATGAAGAAGAGTTGACCACTGGTCAGTGCCGGAGTTCTGAACAACAGGAGATGATTCTAGACGAGCCAAAAAGTGGGATGCGATCGTGCTGGAAGTCCGGCAGCTTCTGGATGGACTGAAGAAAAAAGCAGAATTTAGGTTTGGGCCTGATGGGACGAGACGGAAGCACGAATAGCTGAAATACGAAAACAGCGGTGTGGGACTAAGGGATAAGACGAGAGACAGGTTTTCGTGGGTTCGAAGCGTCAGTTGATCATCTTTGACAAACGATGGGATCCTTTCATGATAGCGTCTGTGGATTCGAGTAGTCTAATCAGAATGTTTCGTTGACGTAACTTATGCAACGCTGTTTGTGACTTCGACAAACTTTTGCCACTCGCTGTATGCGGCTCCACTCGAGATCGCCCATTTGGCTCTCCTGACACCTTCTTTCCAGCGTCCACCTCCTGGGCCAACCTCCTTGATGACATTTCCATCGTCACCCTCTCCCATGTTGCTCGTGTCCGCGTCACAGATACCACTGACGACGAACAATGCCGCAGTGTTAATGTAAACGAAATGCAAGATTGGATCATCTGGCGGAACCTCGCCCATCAGAATCTTCATGAGAATTTGCGCATTCTGTTCGGGTGACTGCCCAGGGCTGACTTCACTAAGAGGGTGCTCGGGAAGCCCAAAGTCCGCTGGTGTAACAGTGAAGTAGTTGATGTTAGCCTCGCCTGTGGTATCATCCTCGACTATTCGCCAGCAATGCGTTGGTCCAGCGCATGAGAGTTCATCCAATTCCTCGTCGCCGCAGATGACCATACCCTTCTTGCAACCAGACTGCTTCAGCGACTCGGCGAAATCAGGTCCAATCTCTTTCCTTGCTACACCTAGAACGCGCGCTTCAATCAAATCATGTAGCGGGTTCGCCAAAGGCCCGAGAAGGTTGAAGATAGTGCGCCAGCCCAGTTGCCTTCGGATGGAAGCAGCGTGTCTAGCTCCCGGATGGAAAATAGGGGCAAACAGGAAAGCGTAGTTTGTCTTTGAGTAAATTTCGTGGATGGTATTGGGTGCGATGGCAGTGATGACCGGTGGCTTCGGAGGTGCGCAGGACAGAAGGTCTGCTGAGCCAGAACGTGATGTTGATGCTTTGTTTCCGTGCTTTGCGATCATAAGAAGAGCGCTGGCGAGGATGGACGATGTGGTGCTGATGTTGAAAGTGTTGTGGGAATCACCTCCTGTGCCAACTATGTCGCACAAGCCTCCATGGTAGCCACCCTCTTTCCTTCCTCGTTGGCTGATGAGTTCTTGAAGACCTTTGACATCAATGCCAGTGGCGTAGTCCCGCATCGCCTTGGAACATTTGGCTAATACTTCAGCTTGTCTGTCTTGGTCTGTGAAATGGAGACATGTCAACAAGGCTCCTGTTTGGACTTCGGATAGGCTGTTTGTGAATATCAAGGCGAGGGCTGCTGCTATCTCGTCGGCTGTTGGTTTGGTTGTGGGTGACTCATGCCAGAGTCGCTTGAGAAGGGGTGTGATGGATATTTTCTTATCCTCGTCGCCAGCTTGGGTAGCCATGATGTAGGCTGACAGTCGTGGTCCTTGCGCCCTTGTCCTACTCCAGCATATGCGAGCTGGCGGGGTAGTTGGCGGGGTGTGTGTGTTGGTGGTGACAACGTATACCAATTGGTAGTCTTGGTATGACGAAGTTAGGACCGAAAGGATGCGTTCTCTAGAAGACCCTGAAATAAAGCGACCAGTTGAGTCACAGTATGGCCGCACGGAGGTGCTTTCAAAGTCCGCACCTAGGTCACAATATGCACCACGATGAGGGCTCCACCACGCTAGCCCACAAGCCGTTAGCCACACAAAACGCCGATGCCAAGGCTCTCAAAATCTCGACTCAGTGCTCTGGCAGGCGTGGAATCTTTCCAAGGTCGTGACGGGTCAGAGTTTCTTCTCTGACGGACCTTGTAGCTCCACCTTTCGCGACACCAACCAAATCAAATGGGGAAGAAGCGAACCCATGCCGAGACCAAAGATGGCTTTACGAAGCCTTCTCCGGATAAGAGTCGGATGAGCGCGAAGAACGGCACCAAGGACGGCGCGCGAAATGACAAGAAAGACCAGCGCAAAGATGGCGAGAGCAAGAAATCGCGGTCGCAGCTGGTGCGCATCATCAGGACAAATATTTGATGCATAACGATGCTAATTTGCAGTAGCTTCTCAAGCCGCAGCCGGAATGGCATACGATAGAACTGCCACAGCTTCCGACTGTCGACAATCCCACGATCCCGCCCCGTTACATCATCGACGCCATCCACGAATATGCCATCCAACTCCTCG